ATAAAGCAACCATGTTATCACCTTGTTTCTCAATTGCTAAACCCAATAACTTCTTCTCATGTGCTTTTTCTTCAGCTTTATTCTTTAATTTAGGTTTAAATTTCTCATCAAAACAGAAGAAATCAAATGGTGCGAATTTGAAAATGTTTTTATCATAAAATTGTTTATCGGTAACAATTGCTTGAAATGCTTGAGTGTTAGGAAGATTTGGGTCGCCAGCGATTGCCCAATAAGATGAATCAGTATCACCTTCAATGAAATGAAAACGATTAACATTCAAGCATTTATACATAAAATCATAAATGAAAACCACCAGTATTTAGCATTATCTAAAGTGAAGAATGCCTCTTGTAAACATGTATCACATCTATAAAATCTATCTTTAAGCATCACTTGATATGTATCTTCACCTATTTCTCTTATGTTTTTAAACTTATTTGACATACATGCAACGCGTGCCTTCTGTGCATTCATTATTTTAGTCTTTGCGTAATTTTGCGTATTCATTGCATCGTAACCATATGATCCATTAAGTGAAATCTTGCAAAATAAACTTTTTCCTTTATTTCCTTCTAATTCAGCCTTTTGTCTTTCGTTCATAAATTCGTTCGCAAATTCATTAAAACAAGTGTTTTTAGTAAATGTTAAAATTGATTAAATATCATCGATGATAAAATGAAATCTGTCTATTAGATACCAAAGATAATAAGAAGAAAATGGTTGATATTGGTTGTGTGTTGATGCTAACTGAGTTAATTTCCTCTGTTTCTGGTCAACTGGTAGATTGTTTGATTTCATGTAATTATACATAAAACTGCCAATTGTTTTTTCATCTGTGATAATATCTAAGTTTCTTATTATCGGTAAAAAGTTTATGTAATCATTAATGTATTTTTCATCAATGTGACCCTTTACTTCAGCCACAAATAAAGTATTTTTTTTTCTAATAATTCCCAGTGCTTTTGCTTTCTTTGTTGCTGTATCACAAATGATAACACCATTCAATCTTCCCGGCATATACATTTTATGGTCAGTATATTGAATGAAATCATGAGGATTAGATGAAAATGATGAAGGATATAATGAATTAAAATCAACACCAACGAAATGAGTCATAATGTTGGTGGTGTCCTCATTTGATACAGTTTTAGTTTCTGGATTATATGCAAGTTTATTAATGTGCGTGATTCCTTTAAGATTTACTCTATGTTGAACATTTGATAAACCACCAGTAATTCCATTACGGAGAATGTGATAAGCTTCAACTGAATCTAAAGTCATTGGTAAATTATTTTTTAATGCATAATTTCTTAAATTGATTCTTAAACGTTGAAACATCTTCATCTTTATTTGATTTTACGACATTGCAATAACAACACATTAACTGACAATTTTCTTTGGTATGTGGTTTTTCATTATCGATTCTATCTAATGTTGTTTATTAGCATATGTAAACGCTTACCACACATTTTGCATTTAGATGAAAGGATTAATCGTGATAGTATTGAAAATCATCCATTGAAACATTATTTTTAGTATCCCTTTCTGCTTTTTCATCTTGTTTCTTATATGATTCAATTTTATATTTCCAATACTTTTTCGTTAATTCAAAACTCGATTCTATCTCTTCCTCAGATATTTTTCATTAGGATTAAAGTCTTTATATGCTAAAGCGTAACGAATCATTGAAGCATTCGATGATAAAGAAAGATTATGAAGCATATCAATTTTATAAACAAATGTTTCTTCAATAATTTTATCGATTGGTCAATCATAATTTCAACATCTTTATTGCAATAATGAATAAAATATTCTAATCTATTCTTAAAATTTTTAGCATCATTGAGATATATTTGATAATCACTATCTGATATAGTTTCTTGGGTTAATGCTGAATAAAATGAATCTTTCGTGAATGGTTCCTCTCTTATATAATTCTTCTTCGTAATTTTCCCATGTGATGAATTGATAAGGGAAAAAGGATTTAACACGTGATTTATTGTTTCCGAATCTTGAGTGAATTGGTCTAATGTCCCACCCGCTATATAATTTCTGATGTCAATAAATCTCAATTCATATGGAACGTTTGTTTTCTTTACAATGATTTGCTAAATTGTTGAAGATGAACCCAGCAATTGATTTTATTTTCCATTTTGCAGTGTTTAAATCATGAAGAATTAAATTTAAATCAAAACTTTCCCGAATTAAAACACTATGATATTCACTTTATTGAATTCCTCATCTAGAAGTTCTTTAAATGCTTCCTTCTGTTTTTCATTTAATGTATGAGACAAAGTCCCCGCCGTTTGCGACTTCAATAATTCATTGTATTGACTCATATTTGATTCAACAACTAATGAACAGGTTGAAAATAAAAACTCAATCCAATCAGAAATAAAAGAATCACTCGAAGTTAAGCAAAAATTCCTCGTATATGTTTTATCATTTAATTTAACCGTTGATGATACCATGAATGGTTTTAAGTAAGCGTTCAAAGTTGCACACTCAGAAAGTTGTAATTCTTCTTTAGTCTCTAATGTTTCAAAGTCAAAAGTAATATAATATCTTGTCGGTTTATAATATTTCTGCAAATTGTGAGCTAATAACCACTGATATATCTTCTGTTTCGTAATATGTGGTGCATATGGTTGCTGGTCTTTTGCAACTGAACGTCTTGAATTAATCTTCCATTATTTTCTTTACATTTCTCACAATGCTTTAAAAATCTTCTTTGGTTTTTCCTTTCTGGATCATCACGGATAGAATAAACTTCTTCTTTACAATATGGACAAACTTTATAGCCGGTGAGTGCTTCAACGTCTGTTATTCTGTCAGCGTGAAGTTTTCCACATGGACTCTGTGTTAATAAAATATTTACTGTTTCAAATTCTGGATCTATCATTATTGATTCCACTAATGGAAAGTCTACCTTATTTATGTCCACGTCTTCTGGTTGAGGATCACAATAATAGAAATCAATATTAACATTTAACATTCTCGCTAATCTCTCACTTTCTGATGAAATGTCAAACCCTTCATATGCATCTATTGCTTCATTTAAATAGCTTCTACGAGTTTTAGGATTAACACCATCAGGAATGTTATAGAAGCGTTTAAATAACCTTCTACCTTCTGCTCTAATTTGATTATCATTCATTTTAGCTGTTCCGTTTTTGTTCATTTATGTAAGAATAAAAAATTAAAAAATAAATAAAAATAAAGTTTATTTTTTAAAGCCCATAAAATGAATTAAGAACACATAAATTTTTATCATCTGCGACGTGACGAATACATTTTAATTTACTCAAGAATGCGTACCCTGATACATTAAATCTAATTCCTGTCTTATTTAATTTCACAACTTTGAAAAGGAATGTATGAATAGCTATAAAATGATGAGAAGATGTTTTATGGGTTGCTTCCATTTTTTCTGAAATAAATGAATAAATATAATGTTTATAAGTTTTCATATCTTTTATATTCTTAATAACGAATGGTATAGACCTTTCCACTTCATCTTCCTTCGGTGCTGTTCTTTCATATGAAACATTATTAGTATCTTCAACAATGAAACCACAATCACATAAAATTTTATATGTTCCAATGGTTTCTTTTGATATTTTATCTAATAAATCAAAAACTTTATCAACACCTGTGCATTTATTTAAATAATAATTTGTGTAAATATCATGATCTTCTTTCTTAATCGTATTAGTTGCATATGTCACGTTTTTAAGAGCTTTTTTGAATTTCTCAGAATCGAGAGGTGGTGAAAGTAGGATACAGGGGTATTCTTCATTATCAATAAATTGTAACTTATGTTTACGAATAAATTTAGTACCTTCTTCTGAAAGTGTTTCGTCTATTTCACCATCTAATAAATTTTGTGTTGATTCTGAGACATAATTTTTATATCTTTCTTCATGAGATTTCTGTACTTCTGATTCTGAAGCTGGGATATTCATTAAACCCTCTACTTCATTTTCATTATATTTTTCAACTTCTCTTAATTCCTTAATTTTTTCATCTATTTCATCTCTTATTTTTTCCAGTCTTTCAATTTCATCGTATTCATCATCTTTAATTCGTTCTTCATAATATTCGGGGAAAACATCAGGTTCTTTAGGTTTTTCTTCTTCAGATGTGGGATATAAGAAATTTATAACATCATCTTTATTCATTTTTCCATCATAATCTAAATCATTTAATAACTCCGCGAATTTTTTACAATTTCTTAAATAATATTTATCAACTTCATAACCCACCTCCTCTAATATATCCTTTATTTCCTCGTTTGTGAATCCTAATTTTTTAACGTTGTTAGTTTTGACGCTCATTTCATACAAAATAAAAAAATAAAATAATAAACATAACTAAGTTTTAATTTTTCGTAAGAAGTTTAACCCATTCAGGATTTAAATGATGTTTAATTAATCGCGGAATATCTGACATCATCTATATATAGCTTCTTTTATAAAAGATAAAAAATAAATTATTTTAAAATTAACTTTAATTTTTTTAATGATTTATAAATAAATATATTTTAATGCATCGTCTATATATAGATGTAACAAAAAAAGTCACAAAACCCGTCATATCCTACTACTAATTTCTCAAAAAACATGATAACTTGATATTTGTAAATATCATACTTTATAACGTAAATAAGAACTTGACCTATTAAGAAAAGCAGTAATGAAAAGAAAATCTGAAATTCATAAAAATTACAAGTTTCTGATGACAATTAGCTTAATTAAACCAGGTACAAGATTATATAATTGTATTTTCTATCCAATTATCCATATAATATCTTATCCAGAAAAAATAACTTGATCAATACCAAATGATTTTTTAACTAGTAAATAAAGTATTTTCTTTACACACACATTGTATATCATAGTTTTTTTTTTGGTTTCGCAAAACATCCAAAAACAAATATGCTATAAAAGTGACAATTTTAGCAAAACGAAACCCTTAAATAAAATGTCATTTTTTATTTCATGGAGCGGAGAAAAGTTGATGAAAATCCTTACCATGAAATGATAAAAAGGATTCTTAGATCCACAGAAAGGAGAGCTTCCGATACTAAGGATCTTTTAGATATGTTTACAGAGCTAGTTGCATCAATTTCAAAAATTATCGAACAAGTTAATAAAGTTAATTCGGATTACAGCTTTATTACGAGCAGAGAAAATACCACCACATTCTTTAAAGAATTTATTCAATACATTTCCGAAAATGTCATCGATATTCATGGATTAAATAATTTTAAACTTGCGATTATTGAATCAATAAATTCTCCACTTAGCAACTTTTATACTAGAGCACAAGAAAAATGCCGCGCGTTTCAAATGTCTTTTAATCAAGCCGAAATTGCTTTAGATATTGGCGAAGGACAGTACAAAAAAGCATATCAAGAATACGAAGCTGCATGTGCTGAACTTGAAGCAGAATTAGATCCATACAAATCGGAGCAATTAATTCAAAAATGCCAAAGAGAAGAAATCGCTGCATTAAATGCGTGCAAAACACTATCAAATGTCAGAAGAAGTTACTGTTTGGAAGTCGAAAAAGTGTTTTATTCATTCGAATTACTCGAAAAAGATTATTATAATTTAATTGACGCAACAATTGGTACTCTCAATAGTGTTATATCGAATCTCGCTACTATGTATATTACAAAGAGCGAATCCGCAGCAGAAAAGATTGAAAAAATAGTAGAAGAAGATGAAGATGAAGCAATCGTTGAAAACTTAAAGAGAGTTATATCGCACAACTGCGATACAGCTGTTAAGCAAGTAGAATTACAATTTAATATATTTGATTTACTTTCTCCAAAGATTGTTTACGAGAAAATGTTGAAATGTGAAGTTTGTGTAGCTGTGGAGCCATACGAAAATCCCCAAGAAGCTGGATTGGTGGTGGCTATTGGAGATCTTGTAGAAGTTCGTGAAAGGAACAAAAAATTTTTAACTGTTGAATTATTATCTAATGGCGTCGTTGGAAAAATAGAGCCATCATACTTTGGCCCTTCTTCATTTACTCGAACTATCTGTAAGCTCAAATCTGATTTTGGATACGCTTTAATTAACTACAGACCGGGATTTTACTTCTGTATTGTGAATGAATATCCAAACTGCTTCCGATGTAAGACACCTTCGGGTTCATTTGTTAATGTTCCAAAAAATTTAGTTGAATTAACTGTTGTGTAGATTAAATGGTTTTTATATATTGATATTAACATTTATTTCTTTGCATAGTAGAAAATCTATTTTTTATTTCTTATCTCTTTGATCAATTTTATTGGATTCAATTCATTTGAGCTCAAAAAGTGACACAATTAAAAAAATCATTTTGCTTAATTTTACTAATTATTGGATTTTGTTCCATTATCTTTGATCTAAAAATTTCATTTCACGATTCAATTTTTTTTGTAAAGTATTAAATTAACTTTTTTCTATAGGGTTAAGGATGCCTAAAGACGATAGACCACCCTCAGAAAAACACTGTTAAGGCTATTACATTGAGTACCTAGAGTCAATGTGATCCATATATTCAAGTTCAATAAGGTTATTTTTGTGATATTTACGTTATCGTCTATAAAGCACCCTTTAGACATTTAAATTTACTGGGCGGTTTTTGATTTTATCTTAATTATTGTATAATGGACTATTACAAAAACTAAACAAATTAAACTTAGTGTCATTTGTAAAGCTCTTAAAATAATTTATCATTTATTACTTTTCCCATGCATTCCATACTCGATAATTACCTTAATGTGTATGATAATTGTACTCAGATTCTAAACAGGCATTTCCTTTCGCATTTATATGATCATATTTCATCTATTCAAGAAATCATCAAATTCAATTGTAATAAATATCTATTCTGCGAAACTAGTTTTAGATCAATTTCATTTGCTGTAAATATTGATGATGAAAACTTCAATCAAATTGCATATATCTACATCAAGCACAAGAGAACCAATGTTTATGATATTATTTCTCTTAAACTTGAAACAGCTACAAAGCGTGATGACATTATTAACTTTTTAGTCACAGATTCCCAAGAAGAATTTCGAAAGCATAAATTTAAATATCTCGATGTTTTCTTGAATCACAAACTAAATATCCAAGTTGCGACTGTAGTACCATTATTTAACGCCATAATGAAAAATACTAGTCCGTACAAGGAAAAACATAGGCTATATTTTGTTTATACCCAAAAAACAGAAAAAAATTTCAATATGACTTTTATTGCCTTAGAACAAATCGACGAAAATGGTGAACGTGGGGAACCATTTTATTGCAATGCGACAAATATTTATAAACTTTCTGAAGTTAAATTTACACAATCTTGGATTCCTCTTAATAAATACGAATATTACCTCTATAGTTTCATTCAACCATATTTAGCAACAAATGAAGAAACAAAGACACATAAAAATTGCAAATATCAACAAATTCCAGATAATCATCTTAAAATTGATTAATAAATAACTCTTAATATTTTCAATTACCTAAAAATATTTAAAGTTATCTCTCTCTTTTTTTTAAAGAACTGGCAGGCGTGTTAACTTTTTTGTGATATAATTGTATATTGCGATTTTTCCTTTAAAAACTGTATCTCGCTGCCAAATTCTCTGTGATAAGGGAGACTGCTTATACAGGATGAAAGTCACTGACTCGTTCGTCAGTATAACGACTCTCAACATTGGACCGAATCTTTGCATCACATTCGCATCATTCAGGTTGAAGTATTTGAACATCGGTGATGGGACAACGATATCTCGAATCGATTCATATGCATTTGCAGATAAACAGATAGAAACATTTTCCATCGAGTGTGACGTTTCCTTATCATCTTACACATTCAAGAACTGCGTGAATCTGAAATCAGTTGGAATTCGTCACATCAAGCGGGATCTCACATCAACACCGAAGAAATTGATGTAGGCATCATCATTGAGCCAAGAGTACTACACAATACCAGAAGGTCTTTTCTCAGGATGTAAGTCTCTTTTGAGCCTAAGAATAAACATGAACATCAAAATTATAACTGATTACGCATTCATGAATTGTATCAAGCTCTCGTTCACGATCCCTCCGTCAGTCGTATACATCGGTGACAAGTCATTCATGAACTGCAGCATGGTCAAGAATATCCCATAGATCGTTGAGCACATATGGAATTTCTCATTCTACGGTTCCAATGTTGGCCGTGTCCTGATAATTAGCTTAGGAGCAACATATAGTGGATCTTCTGCTTTCACTAAGACTGATGTAAACTTGATATACTACTGCGGAACGAGAAACTTCTCTAATTTCTCTTCAGTGTTCGAACCTGGAGCTAAAGCGATCATTTCTGAATCTTACCCATCGAACATCCTTTGTGGTTCAGTTGTATATCACATCATTGCAAACTCATGCAAAGATGTAATGAAAAAAAACTTCAATCATGATAAATTTATAAAAAGAATAGAAAATATTGTGATTGCATTATCAACTCGCATTCTCAGTTCCACTAAAAATCTAGGTATTTGGTAACATCAGTTTATTTTTCTCGTAGGCATGCAGATATTGTAGAAAAATATTATTTATTATTCTAATATGATAGAAAACAGTGAAGTTTACAAATTATAGCACAAAAATTAAAATTACGGAGGTAACTACAACTAAATTAATGAGACCCGCAAGTTTTAGTTTTTCTGCAAAAGCTGGACGCTTTTTTCTAAGAGCGAAATATGCTATATAGCCTGCGAATGGGCATAATGAAGAAAGTGCCATTAGGTACCTGTCTGATTTTGGAATTCTATGATGCTCAATTTCTTCTGAATGTGTCTCTGAATTGAAAAGCTCGTCAATTGGGATATTTTCCGGTAATGGATGATCAAATTCCAGTACCTTGCCACTCTTTAGAATATAAACATATTTTTGCTGTAAATCTTCTCTTGGTGGAGGGAGATCATAACAAATTTCATGAAATACAACATCAGGAGCTGGTATAATGTAATTACATTCAATAGTTGTACATTCTTGTACATCATTATATGGATTGCAATGATTGATTTCAATTGGATCTTTAAATTGATAAAAAGAGGTAGAATTTTGTTCAATTCCTGAGTATATAGGCTGTGGAATTGTAATTGTATTTTCATGTGATTGTAAAAATATATTTTTCTCAAGGCAATCTATATCTAGAATGTCATCAATCATCTTGCATTAATGATTTTTTGATTAGTTATTCAAAATTTAAATCAACTCATAGAATTTTAAGTTCATTTGATAGGGTTTTAGAGGATAATTGAGAAGATTTGAATTTATCGAATTAAAATATTGCTTAACAATAGATACTTATATTATTTGATTTCCTGACATAAAATAATTTTACAATAAATTGGCAAGTGGAATTTATTATACTAGAAGGACGGTTGTCTTGCCTAAAATGTATACGAATGATTTTTATTATAAACCCCAAAATTCGATCAAAAAATTTCAGTTTATTTCAAAATAAAATCAGTTTGTAAAAATCTAAAATCTTTTCGTATATGATTTAATCTTTTTTTTGTAAAAGGTTCTTTTATAATTTTGAAAATCTATCTCAAATTTGATTTTCAAGCACAATAGTATATCATGCTTTAATTTTTGGATGAAGATGCTAGATTGGATTTGTATTTTCTGCTGAATTCTTTGTACTTCTCTTATGAAATAAAATACATTTGATTATCTCGAGTTTTGTGAAGAGTTTCTCTTATCCCTAACATAAATTCTGAACAGCATTTGGCTTTGCTTGATTATTTAGAAGGAATTAGTATTTTCACATCAAACATATTTAATCCATTAAAATTCCGTAATATTTCGTTCTAGAGTCATCTCCTCTTAACTCAAATCAACTTTCTAATGTATTTTCATTGGCTAAATCCGATATCTAATAAATGGGGAAATAAAAATCATTAAAAAGTGACAAATAAATTTTGACGATAAAAACTGACGGTTATGACAATTTTTCAAACATATGAATCAAGGAGAAGATCCATACTTCAGATTTCGTGATGAAGTAGATGAAGGCATTTCGAACTGTGAGCAGCAAACCCGTGAATGGGAAGTTCTCCGTTCGAGTGTACAGAGCCAGCAACGTGCAGATTGGGTAAAAAGCGAAATCCAGTCAAAGCTTGAACCAATCAGGAAACAAATTATCGACTTAGAGAAAATGAATGCAATGATTTTAGCAAATCCATCAAAATTCAAAAATATCACTCAACAAGAAGTTGATAATAGACGCGCCTTTATTTCAAAGTCAAGAGGAAGAATCTCCCAGATCGAGAGTCATCTCGCATCTCCTCCACCAGATACTCCAGAGATGAGAGCGGCTGCAAAGAGAGATCGCGTCGCAAGAGCTAAAATTGACGACCATCAACGTGCAATCGATTCTGAAATTCAAAACCAGCAAGTTCAGTTACAGCGCCAAGATGAAAATCTTGATATGATCGGAAATGAAGTTGCTCAAATTCGCGTTATTTCTAATCAAATTGGAGACGAACTTCGTGATCAGAACGATCGTCTTGATGCAGTCAATGACCATATGGATAGAACAGATAACAAAATCGAAACTGTTACTCAGAAAATGCAAAAATTGTTGTCTAGTAAGACAACATGGCTTTGGGTAGCTTGCTTTGTTCTTACAATCCTTCTCGCTGTAATTATGTTCCTCGCTTTCACTACGTAAGTTATTTTATTTTGATTTCTATATTTTTTATAAATATTTATTCTCTCTGATATATCCTTTCATACGTATTTCCTTCATATCCTATATTTCTTATTATGATTTCCGAAATTTCTCAAATTTATTTTTAAAGACCATGGGCCATGCTACAATTGTGTTACTTTTTACGAGCCGGCCACTATTTCGCAAATTTTTAATCACTTGTGAATAAAATTTTATTTGTTCAAAATCATTCATAATATTTTTAATGGTGCCCTAATAACGATAGACCACTCACAGAAAAACACTTTTAAAGCTATTATATTGAGTACTTAGAGTCAAGATGATCAATATATTCGAGTTCAATAAGATTATTTTTGTGATGTTTACGTTATCATCTATAAGGCACCCTTAAATTTTTATCACTTTTTAAAGTTTTTAATGGAATATAATCAACAATTAGCAGCAAAATATTCCGATTTTTTCCAATATGTTACCGATTTTGTAAATGCACATACTCCAGAACTCAAAGAAGATTTACGGCTTCTAAGAATGTATTCTGCCCCGCTCTTTCAAAAATATTTAGATATGGCAAATTTTACTAATAATATTTTTACTGTATGGAGAACTTTTAACGATACTTACTTACGATACATAAAACTATTTAAGCCAACAAAAGAAATTGTCGATAAATTTTACGAGTTGCGTGAATTATTGGAAAAAGAAATACTTAAATATTATCCAGCCTACGCGAATGATATGCAAAGATTGTCAGACTTCAAAAAGCTCGTTTTGGAATTCGAGAGAACACCAGAGAAGGATAGATCTTTATATTCGAAAATATTTGGTCAATGTTACATCCCATACAAGATATGCTCCGATAAAAGATTAGAAGAAAATTGTACTCCTTTACCCGAAGACACGTATGGTAAAGTTTTTGGTTTTCTCTTATATCTTCAGGGTCCAGTCGTTAAATTTAAAAGAGAACAAGAAGAAAAAGAAAAGAGAGAACAATGGAAACGCTATATAGAAGAGGCCAAGAAGAAAAAGAAATTGGAAGAGAGAAGAGATTTGCAAAGTGTTGAAATTGAACCATATCATAATGATTTTGATGGTCCAATAAGAAGGTTATACCAGCCACTTGTTTAAGATAATATTGACCATGTACACTAACATGTAAGCGGAGTACGATTCGCCGCTGGATCAGCCTCTCCAGTAATTATAGTAGTTTGAAGACGAATAAGTGGATATTTCGGACTCTCCGCCGAAGATATCGTCAATGGCGGACTCCCTGATCGTCCTGGAAACGATTGAATCGTTGAATTTGTACCATTGATCTTCGGCTGAAGGTCTTATGAAGGTGTAATAGTGTCCGAAGGTGGCAGAGTGTTGTGAAAGACAATAATTTATAATTTAAAAAATAGCAATAAAAAGCTTTGTATTTGTAATTAAAATTAACATGGTTTACAAACAATTTGGATATCAAATAAAAATCATATTATATTTTTGTAATTCAAAAGCAACAATGAATAGAATTGAATTCTTTCATTACCAATTGGGCGTGCTTTTCCTCTGTGAGCTCGCCATTTGAGTATGCGACAAGAGTATCCCACATTGCATTTTTAATTGCAGTTTTATGCAATTGTAAGTTACTTTGAGCATATTTTCGAGGTGTACATTTCCCACATTTATCTGCTTCGATCGTATATAAAAATTTTTGCCATGGAAGTTTTCCAAATTTTCTGATAAAGTTTTCTAGATATTCGTACAGTCTATATTTTCTTCCATTTAGGTAAGTCAGATGGTCTCTGGCTTCGTCAGTTAAAGGATATTTTGTAACATTACGAGAATGAAGAGTTGATGAGCAAACAACAAACTCAGCAAAGTAATGCTTTGGTCTACTTCGAAGTGGCAAAAACGAATTTGGTTTTCCCATGTGACCAAATAGATCTACTGTAAGATGTAGGAGCATTCCTAGATCAAACCAATAGATATTGTCAGACTTTTGAGTATCTTCAAGTAATAGGCTTTTGACGTTATTTAGATTATGATATTTTTTTCGTGGAAGAGAATCAATATAAATATTTCCCAAAACAAAATTATAAAACTGATCATATGATAGATTCGGTAAAAATTCTTGAGCAAATTCTTCAGCACATGTTTGATGAAAAACGGGTCCCCAAGAATGAGCAAAAACTAATAAATTAAAAAACATTATAAAAAGTGTCAAAATCTGATTAAAGTTACTCTTAAACACACCAATAAACCTGTATGACTATACCATTTAATCCATGTGAATATAAACATTTAAATTCTATGTTCATTTCTTTATTCTCTTTGAATTCTGCCCCGAATGGAGCTGGAAGATTGAAACTATACAAGAGAGAGTATGTATTCAGTCCAACAAATCATTTCATTGATATAATATCGAGATATTTCAATCAGAAATGAAAGAAACAAAATTTTGATATGAAAAGTGACATTCTACTGCCGTTTAAAAATGTCGGACGATTCTCCCCGCTCGACTCCAGTCCACAGTGATGATGATTCAACAGAGAATGAAGAAAACGTTCAGAACACACGCTTCAGAAATGGTGTTGATTCTGAGCCAGAAGGTGAAGATCTTTATAATACAGTACGTAGTGATTACCGTGCTAGACCAGAATTAGATGTTTACGAAAATGAAGGTTTAGATAATGAAGAATACGAAGGTTTAACACCATACCAAATTGCACAAGTCAACTCCGAATTGGCTCAAAGACAAGGCTCTTCAAGCTTCTGGAGTGTTGATGCACGTAATGCTATTGAAGCTCGTAGATTAAGAAACTTCCTTGAAAGACCAAATCAACAGATCAAGGCTTTCGATGAAATTTTCGAACAAGATAATGGTACTCAGAACATCTTCCTTCAAGATATTGTTGGCCCACTTCAACCATATCTTGAGCGTCAAGAAATTAAGATTGAAATTGCTCGCAAATTCCGTATTTTCATCCAAGAATTCAAAGATTCTAACGGCCAACTTATATATTTAGAGAAAATCAGAAAAGTTGCTACAAACAACCTTGAAAGTTTCGAAGTTTCTTACTTAGATCTTTCACATCATAATACAATTATTGGTGTATGGCTTGGCGATGCCCCAGACATCATCATTCCAATCCTCAGTGATGCAGCACTTCTTGTTGTCAGAAAGATGTATCCAAATCTTGATATCAGGAAAATTACAGTTAGAATTACACATCTTCCAATTATTGATAACATTCGTGATCTTCGTCAGATTCACTTAGACTCTTTAGTCAGAACAAAGGGTGTTGTCACACGCTGCAACGATATTTTACCACATTTACTCCAAATCAAGTGGAGATGTGAAAAATGCGGACAAGTTCATGGTCCATTTGAAGTTTCTGATGAAAAGATCTATCCACCAGCCTTTTGCGCAGCTTGCAACTCCAAAGGACCCTTCAGAATGGAAGATGGAGCGACATTATATCGCAATTACCAGAGAATCACAATTCAGGAGCCACCAAACTCAGTTCCACCAGGCCGTCTTCCACGTACAAAGGAAGTCATCCTGTTAGATGATAATGCAGGCACAGTTAGGCCAGGTGAAGAAATTGATGTGACTGGTGTTTACAAACACGTCATGCACACCAAGGGAACAGGCTTTGCAGTATTTTCTACTATCATTGAGAGCAATTATATCCTTAGAAGTGGTGATAATTATAATGTTTTCAGTATCACAGAAGAAGAGAAAGAACATATCATCAAACTCTCACAGTCTGACAACTTAGAAGAAAGAATCTTCAACGCCATCGCTCCTGCCATTCACGGACATAGAGATATCAAAGCGGCCATTGCGATGTCACTTTTCGGTGGTACACGTGTTGAAGAAAAAGGCCATACAGTACGTGGTGACATCAACATCATTCTTCTTGGTGATCCAGGTACAGCCAAATCCCAATTCCTTCAATACGCCAGAGACATTGCACCTCGTTCCATCTATACAACAGGCAAAGGCGCAAGTGCTGTCGGTTTAACAGCTGCTTTGCACAGAGACCATGCCAGTGGAGAGTGGACAATTGAAGGCGGTGCTTTAGTTCTTGCCGATGGCGGTGTCTGTCTTATCGATGAGTTCGACAAGATGACTGATAAAGACAGAAACTCATTGCACGAAGCCATGGAACAGCAAACAATTTCCATCTCAAAGGGTGGTATTGTTACAACTCTCCAAGCACGCTGCTCAATCATTGCTGCTTGCAACCCAATAAGAGATAGATACCAACCAAGTCTTTCCTTCCTCGAAAACAGTGGTCTCACAGAACCAATTTTGACTCGTTTCGATGTTATTTGCGTTGTAAGAGATATTATCAACCAGGAAGCAGATGAAAACCTCGCAAAGTTCGTCTGCAGGAACCACCAAGGCTACGAGCAGCCAGCAGGTGATATTTCACGTGATCTCCTCAAGAAATACATCTCTTACGCACGTGCAAATGTCCACACAAGAATCACTGGCGCTGACAGAAACAAGTTGTCAAATCTCTACACTGATCTTAGAAAGGAATCTGAACACAACGGCGGACAGTCAATCACTGTTCGTAACTTCGAATCAATGATTAGATTGGCTGAAGCACATGCTAGAATGTATCTTAGAAACAACGTCAACGACGATGATACAAACTTCGCCATCAAATTAGTCATTGAATCATTCCTTAGTACACAGAAATACTCTGTTCAGAAGAATTTACGCAGAGTTTTCCAGATATACTTGCACGAGGACCAAGGAAAGGTAGATATGCTCATGCGTATCCTCATGCAGGCTATCAAGGAGAAGGAGAACTTCAACGCTGTAAGAAACAACACTCCAGATGCAGATCTTCAAGAAATCACAATCAAAAGATCAGATTTCGAAAGACTTGCTAACGAAAACCATATTGAATCTATTTCTGGTTTCTTCAACTCAACTCAGTTCAAGAGAAGTGGTTTGATTTATCGTGGTGAAGATATTATCAGACCAGCAAGAGATCACAATTAATTTTATTTATTTACCTTTTTTTTTCTGTATTACTTTTATATACTTAATAAAATTACATTTTTGAAAATATTATAAAGATATGTGGAGGTAAAAACCTTTGATCATGCTCTGCTAAATTATATTTCAAAATTATTAATGCTTTATCACAAATGAAGTTCTAGACAATATACGAAATCGCACCACCTCAGATATTGACACCTTTAGGGATGAATGCATCAATGATAGCCCTGGAAAGAAATGCTTTTTAGAATTTTGACATATTTAATCGTTTTGTAAATAATTAGGAAAGCTCTCAGAATTTTCCTTTAATGACGCCATAAACTTCTCAATATTTAAAGAATACTCTTAATTTGACATTATTAAATGGATCCTATTATTTCATGACTAAACCAATTACAATTAAATATTTTTCAATCACAAGATGTCCATTGATTGATGTAACAAGTAAATCGGCATTATTTATTACATCTCAATCAGTTACTAAAAAGAAGAGATATTGTTATTGCCTTAGATTAAACTTGTTGCAGCCCCAAATCTATATTTATTAGAAAAGATCATAAAGAACCGTTAGTAACATTCTCAGTCCAAAGAAATTGTTTAACATAATTTACAACTATTCAAAGTTATAAAACGTACAATTTTTCAAATGACAACTCAGGGCGATCAACCATTCCAAGATCAATCATTCAACTCCCAGCAAGTCAATGAAATTATTAGCCGCGTTATTTCCGGTGTATTGAAAAGCGGTGAATTCGTTCCAGATAAGGTTCAAGAGCATTTAACAAATATCCTCCACGAAGTTCTTTCACAGTTGAAGGAACTCAACTTCCGCTTTAAGTACTGCGTATCTGGGCTGATTACGCAAAACTGCGGAGCAGGGCTTTATCAATTTGCTTCAACTCACTATGAAAAGAACCAAGATAACTTTGCGAATACGGTATACCAAAAAGGCAATATAATCTGCTCTGTTACAGTTTATGGATTCAAGATTTAAGAAATAACGATTTTTCTTTTTTAGTAATCAGAAAACCAATAGTGTTCCTTTAAAAATTATTACAAAATACATTTATTGATCATAATTAACTTTAATCAAAATGATATTTTTCTTTTTTTATTCTGATTACTATATTTTAGAAAATATAAACTATTGATTTATTTTTGAACATTTTAAATTGATCCCATTTTTTCTTTACAGCTAACCTTAGCTCAAGAATTTGAACAGTCTGTTTTGAAATAGCTTGAATTATAATTTCTTGCTCGAGATATAGTAAAACAGGACCATTACTTTTCAATATATAATTCAAAACAGTATAGTAAGCAGGTAGTGACTTGAAAGTTCAATGCTTGCCGGAAATTAGTAAGAAATTAGTTTATATCATGAATTCATAAGTGATTATATGCTAGAAAGTCCACTAAAAATTTGGTATTTTTAGAGATGTGTTTTATATGAGCTGAACCTATTTAGTTATCTCAATAAAATAAAATTGAGAAATTTATCCTAAATTATTGAGTTAAATATCCTGAAGCAGTAATTAAAGAATGATTAAGAAAAATGGTTTTTATTACAACTATTAAGAAACGAGTCAATAATATTCTTCTTTTTTAATACTTCAATAAATGATCGATATCAATAGAAACACAATTAAGGATGGCTGGATTCTTTCTTGCTGTCGTAATGAATTCAGCAAGAGAAATTTCTCCGTCTCCATTTTCATCCATGCTTTGAATTGTAGCTGTAATAATACGATTAAGGGACGTTGGCGATATCTTGACTCCATTGTTTTCGCTAAGTGATAATGTCATGACATCTGTTAACTCTTGACGAGAAATCTTTCCGCTTCTATCGGCATCATAAACATTAAAAACGAAAGAAGCCTTTTCTTCGAGAGTAGCTCGTTGAGAAGCCATTGAAAGTCCTTTAACGTATTCATGGAAATCAAGTAATTGATCTGGATTTTCATCAAAGGCACTGAAAATTTTACCAGCGAATTGAATGTTATTGATGCCAAGCATTAAAGCGAACTCATTGACATCAATGTTACCATCAGCAGTCGTTGTTGCAGAGACTTCTTTGAAGCTGGAGTAAAGCTTCATTATCTCTTCCGGAGAGAAATGTGTTGATGCTGAAAGCTTAGCAATTTCATCTTTTGTTGGTGGTTTTGCCTGGGATTGGTGATTGCCCATACAAAAAATAAAGACAGTTAATTGAAATAAACCGCAAAATTGCCTTAATACAAAAACGACCGAGATTATCATGTTTGTATATATTCCGAAAATTTAGTCAAATCGAAAATTTTACGTGACTAATTGATTAAATACAAAATTGTTGATAAAATATGAAGAATCAACGTAAGTATAGCAAGATCTCTTCAAGAAATTCAAGAAAATTCAATTTTGTCAGAAAGATTGAAGGAAAAAGAGGATATTTCAGAATAAGGAAATCATTTTTTCACAGCTAATAATAAAAATGCTTATTTGAGCTAATCAATTTTCAATTTTAATTGAATGTTCTTGAATATTCTGCTATCAGGCAGCTTTTCAAGAGATCCGCGAACAGTTTTTATAGATCCACGCGTAGAAGGAGACTGTTTTAGTAGTCCTTGCTCAATTTCAAACGCAGCACGCGTTATCAGAACAGCAGATACAGTTCACTTTCCAGAAAATTATAAAATTTCTCTTACTTCGTATCCATCAGAGTTTAGTGATTTAATTGTGCAACTATCTTTACATAATACCACAGTTCATTCTCATGGAACAATAGTTGATGGCAGTAATCTAGCCGGGTCTATTGGTGTTGAGTTAGTTAGTCATCCGCATTATACATGGTCCGTCTTAATCGGTTGGACTTTTCGAAATTTTTCGAAACCAATATTTTTACGTGATCAACTTTGGTCGTATGCACCATATATGGTATTTAGAGATTGTACATTTGAATATTGTGACGATTCTATCTTTAAATTAGCAGGAGGAATGTTCATCTTTGAAAACTGTGTATTTAATCATATATCTGAATATCCAGTGCGGTGCGAATACCAAGTTCATCTTGAATTTGTTGATTGCAAGTTTACAAATTGCAAATCTTTATTTATTAGAAAATCAGATGCGATATTTACGAATTGCGTATTCAAAGATACATTTGGAGATAGAGGTGGAGCTATATATGCTGAAAAATCCACTCTTTACGTTAATCATTGCTTCTTTATTCATACAAATGCTTCTTCAAACGGAGGAGCAATATACATCAGAGATTCCATTCCGAAATATGAATCAGAGATAACAAATTCATCATTCATTGAGACAAACGCACAAGGAAATGGCTCAGCAATTTTCATTTACAAATCATCAGTGAATCTCACAAATAATTGCCTTCCATCCAAGGATTCTATACATTACCAAGACAGTCAAGATTTATCTACCAATATTTCTTATTCTAATTGCGAAGATTGGCTTAATACAGATAATATTGAAGTAATTTCTGATGATTTCACTCCAGTTGATACTTTTAAACTTTGGAAACTTGATGACTTAAAAGACGGAACGACAATTTCCATTGAAGATGAAGATGAACTCGATATTGAATTATAAAGTATATTATATGATTGTTGTATTATAATAAACATACATATTAGTTTAATGGCTTATTATTGGGCGGATTATTTGATCTTAAGCATCAGAAATAAAAAAATTAACCTAAAAACTATATATTTCGACCTTATTTTTTCATGATGCGGATTTAGATGATGAAATGAATGTATTTATTGCACGGCCAATTCTGAATCAGAATTTCATAATAAAATGATAGTTAATAGATTTGCTGACTTAACAGATTCATCAAACGAAAATACTTCAATTTTAGGACAGTCAACGACTTACATACCTGATGAAGTTTCTGGCGCTGAAAAGATTGTTCATTCTTTAAATGAACTTCAAACTAATCAAAATTATACGCTAAATGATATAGTTAGCAAGCTAATTCAAGTAAAAATCGAAGTTGAAGGAGATTTAAGTCTTATATACAAATTTCCGTCCATAAAAGATTATAATGAAGATAAATACAAGATTTTCCTCAATGACAGATTAATTTGCTTTAAATATTTTAAGGATAATGATGTTGTTCATGCCATTTCTGATCTAATTTCTACAATAGAACCATTAGAAATCACTCCATTAATAGAAAATTGTATAAACAACGAAAAACACGACCAAACATATATTGCAACGCTTTTCTTACTATGTATGATTGTCAAACTACGCCCAGATTTGATTACACCGAAAACATTTAACATAGAAAATGAGAAATTTTTAGAATCGATGCCACTAATTACATGGATTATTAGTTGTTCATTACAGAGTGACAAGATTGCACATCTTGATCCTTTAGTTAGCCATCAAATTATTGACATTTTTTTAAATAATAGTATTTTATCAAAAGATTCTAAATATGATGATGTAGCAATATGTGCAGCACATTTAATAGCTCAATCTTACTACAAACAGAACGTTTATCGAATTACAAGTTCTCATTTTGCCCAACTTACTGAAATTTCACTTCGTCAGACAACTCCTCGCGACTGCTATGTCGCAAATGTACTTCTTACTACTATGCGCTCACTATCTGTCAGCGACAAGAAGCTGTTGGCCGCACAACTCCTTGAAGTTTTCCCTGACACACATCTTTCCGTCATTGATATCTTCAAATACGAGGCAACACGAAAGACAAGCGCCACATTTGTTGACGGATGGGTGGAAGCACATGCAACTCACAGGGAGGCATCAATGAAATACCTTTGCGCTGTTGCTGGACAAGTTCCCGAAAGAATTATTTGTAAATTCCCTAAAAAAGATCTAAGAAATGGATCGAATATAGTTAGATTGGCTCTTGTTAATGTAGAACTGAAGAATACATCAACGAGAGTTTGCACAATCTGCTTTTTCCTTTTGATTATTTATTGGTTTTATAAGAAACATCAATAGATTATTGTTTTTATATAAAATGCTTTGTTTGCTTATATTATTAATTATTATTATCTTTTTTCTTTTTAGAAATCACACAAAGACTCCTTGTACTATCTTAAAAGTCTAGATACAAATCTGCGTTTGTGATGATAAGCATCGGTTAACGCACACATAAATTTCTTCAAGTATTGCTGCAAAAAGGGAAATTGAGAGAACCATACTCTTAAGCGATTATGGATATAAAAACAAGATAGATTTAGAATTTAAATTTTTAATTTTTTTTATCACAATGATTAAATTAGTCCTGCTGAGGTTGACATAGTATCATATCCAGAAAAATGATGAACTTTATCAATGATAATTTTAAAATCAGTTATGCCATTTCCTTCATATTATTGTGATATTTTTTGTGCGAGCATTTTTGAAAGAAAATCGATTCATTTTCTATATTTGCCCTAGGAAAATAATCGTGCATAAATTGCAGCACCTTTTGCAATTGCTTTTTGTGGATACTGAGTAATCCTAATATCTTTTTGGTTAAACATCTCATACAAACATTCTTCACTATATCTGAAGCGTGTACCACTACCATGACAAATAATGGAATCAATATCTTCAGGCTTATATTTGGCATTTCTGAGACATGTATTGATTGTATTTTTGATTCGATCATAAAATCCATGATCTTCAAGCAACTCTTCAAATTTATGTCTTCTTAATCTGAAATCTCTAGAATCTGTTGATAAATAAGGCCAATAAAATGTATCAGTTATTAGACAGGTTAGCTCTTTATATAACCTTTTACAACGGTTCCTGAGAAAACTTATGTTTTTCCTTTTCATAATTTCATGCTCGCAATTGATATCATATCCATTTCTTTTGAGGACTTCAGAGAAATAATCCATAAGTATTTCAATCATAAAATCTTCACCAAGATCAAGATCTGAAAAGTTTGCAATGATTTTGAATTCATCATTTCCATCACGATCTCTTATCTTTTCTAAAATGGTGACTTCAAATGAATAATGGTCAAAATAAAGGATCATGAGTTTCTTCTCACTTGATGAGTGCATTCCACATGAAATTGCAACGGCTACTGGTTCATATATCATAGAAATGACGTTAATTCCAGCCGATTTTGCAGCCGATTTAATGATATTGATTTGATTTAAATTGAAAGTTACAGGAACTGTAAGAACAAAATTTAATGATTCTCTTTCATTAGGATGCCGATAAATGCTAGCACTCCAAAGTAGTTTTTTATAGATCATTGTTAAAGCTTCCTCTGGAGTGATAATTACATTCTTTGAGTTCATAGGAACTTCAAATACAGTCATTCCATTACTATCTTCAGTAAGTTTAAAGTCCCATTTAGGAATTCTTTTTTGAATATCTGGATCTGAAAACTTTTTTCCTATAATAAGCTTAATATCTTCCAAACAAGGATGGTTAGAACAACTTGGATCGGCACATGCTACTGGTTCGTCATCGTAAAAACCAACATTTGATGGCGGACGTTCGTTTCCATTAATTAAAATTGGATATGATTCACCATTGATGGAAACTGCAAGGCAGGATTTTTTAACACCAAAATCAATGCCAAAACCAGAAACACGCATAGGTGCCTTAGGATCTGGGATTTTAGTTAAAATATATTGTGAATGATTGTAATTTTCATTGGTTTGATTGGTGGTCGTTTTTTTATTTTCATTTTGAAATTCTTTTAATTTATCTTGAAGTTGTTTAATTTCTTGGGTAAAATCACTCATTTCTTTCTCTTTTTGATTTAAAACATCAATAATACTGTCAAATGTTTTGAATTTCATGTATTTTTTGACAGCCCTCAGAATTAAAACAACTTCGTCGAGATTTTGGATAGTAACTTTTGCATCACGTGTACATAAATATAACTTTTTGGCACTAATAGTTGAATGAGATTGTTTGAGAAGAGTAACGTACTGATCAGCTGTCAAATGTGAATATTTCATGATTCTCTTGATGTCTTCAATCTCAAATGTATCGAAGAAGTTTTCATTCTTAATATAATCACTTACATGAGCTGCAATGACTTCGAAATTCAGATTCATGTTTTTTTTTGGGCAAAGTCGTAACTTGACAAAAAAATCTAAACAATAATAACTAGAATTCCTACTACACCCTTTTTACATACAATTTATTTTACATAAATTTTAGTGCGAAAAAGCTAAAATAATACCCTTCAATGAAATTTCAAATACTAATTCAACATTCAGGATTTCCATTAAGGGTATGAATTTATAGCTTTACTAATGAATAATTTCATAGAAATGGCATTGATTTTCATGGTTTCAAAAATTTCATGATATGGCGTTGATTGAATTATAGAGTGAAATTTGATTACATTACACTATATCTCTTGTTCCTAAAATTTACAAGTTATTTTGTAAAAACATAGTCCAAAAAAAAATTATGGTGAATTTCACGATTTTTAGACTTTCTATATCGAGATCGTACAATGAAAGTCCAATTATATCATTGCCGAATAAGTTGGACTTCTCTCATTTCAAGATTTCGAGGTCGCAGTTCTCAAGAAACTTTGGAAATGCGATATTTGGTTATTCACCACAAATATCAGTTTCAGAGACAAAGTTTACAAAAATTACCAATAACGCTATTGTAATATCTTCAAATATGCCGACAGAATTCTCTACTTCATATGTAAATCAGTCGTTATATTCTAAAACTAACGTTCAGATTACTAAATGCCATTTTGACAGATGTAAATCAGTAACTGAAGATTGTGGTGGCGCAATCAACTGCGTAAAATCAAATGTTAACATTTCAAATTGTTTATTTTTTCAATGTTATGCCAAAAACTCGGGAGGTGCTATATTCCTATCGCAATGCACTAAAGTACTTTTAAATTCAAATGCATTCCAGAAAAATGAAGTTGAATTTTCAGCTTCCAGTTGCCATATTTTCCTTGCTTTTGATTTAAAAATCTCGAACTCAAATTATACCGAAGAAAGAAGTAATACTCGTGCGGGATCCATTTCCTTACCATCATGCGAAGATATTTTATTTTCCGAGTGCATTTTTTCAAATATTACTTCGAAATATACCGGAATCATAGAATTAAACTCAGGATCGACTACAATGAGCAGTGTTAGCTTCTACAATTCTAATTGCGAAGCAGTAATTTACGCATCTTACCTTGCAAAGTTGAAAATTTCGAAATCAGTTTTTGCAGGGATTACATCGCCCGCAATATACTGGAATTCATTCAGATACGCAAATCTAACCGAAAACAAATTATGTACAAGCAATACTACAAGTTTTGATGGAAAATTTAAAGAAAATATTATTTACGGGGAAGATACGACTTTTAACGTTGAAGCTGCAGTTATCAACCTAGAACTATACGGAACAGTCGTTCCTCCAACTCCTACATCGACTCCTTCAGCTACAGCAACACCAACGAGATCATTACCACCTGCTACACGCCAGAACCTCGTAATTATACTTGATAATACTCCAGACCCGACAAAGGAGAGGTTGGTTATCATTATTTCCAATAATCCGAAACTTCCTCCAAGAACTCCATCTCCATCAATCAACAAATTCAAACCACCACCAGCAAAACAGAAGTTAATCAATACACAACAGATTGCTATGGTTGGTGGCCTGATTTTAATTGTAATTGTTATTATAATTTATAGAGTTACAAGGAAAGAAAGAATTCCTGAAGTTAATGCATCTGTATTCAATAAGCTTGACAAAGGTGGTGTTAAACTACCAAGAGCGGCAAGAATGAAGAATGCAGATGATTTCTTTGATTAAATTAATGTTTGTATGAGTTAGTTTTTCTAATTATTGTTTTTATTTTTTGATAGATACTTTTTCTTAACGTTCTTTAATTCTAAAAGGAATATTTAAATATTTAAATTTAGAATTAACGTTATTTTTAGATTCTTCGTCTCAGGCTCTCAATAATTGAAATAATTTAGATGTTTACACGTGACATTGGAAAAAATGATGTTAAATATAGTTAAATTTATAATTGTTTCCGTATTGAATTGAATTTTTGAATTATTGACGGAAATATTATTGGATGTCCTTTTATTTTTCAGAAAAATGAATCCAAATGAGTTAATGGAGCTGTTCAAAGATTACATTAATATCTTTAATACAATATACAGATTACACACATTCGATGAAGACAAAATAAACAATATATACATTGAGATCAAAACTAAATTGATCGAAACAAAAATTATATCGCCATCTGAGCTAGTGAATATACTTTCAACAGCTTCAGAATACAATAACCGCTATTTTAAGTCATATTTTGCAATATTTAAAAAATTATTTGAAGAATATCACCCAAATGATGCAAATAGCCTTCGAAATATTTTTAATTACTTTATTTATAAGGAATATGGAATTGTTTTAGGTTATGCAAATCAAAATAAATTCAAAAAGTATGAATCCGAAAATTATTCATTAGAAATTCATGAAGAAAACACAATTTATAGAGCCATCATGGATGATGACATCAAATCATTTATATCATTCACTGTACAAGGAGGATTTGATGAAAATGAAGAACTTGAAAGTTATTTCTATCCAACAAAAGAAAACACATTTCTCGAATTATGTTGTTATTATGGAGCTGTAAATTGTTTCAAGTTTTTAAGGACGAAATACAAGTCAGAAATAAGTTCATCATGTATAGAATATTCGTTCTTGGGTGGCAATCCAGAAATCATGAGTGAATGCTTGAAAGAAACCCGAAAGTTTTATTATTTAATGGATCATGCAATTATATCACATAATATTGACTTTGTATCATTTTTGCTGAATGAGCATAATATGAAAATCAATATAAATTTATGTTTAAGATTCAATAATCTTCAAGCATTTTTTGTTTGTTTAGATCAAGCAGATCAAATCAATGAATGCTTTGTTAATTCACCATTTTTCAATATGATATCTCTTTGTGAATATTTTCTTTCGCATGGTGTTGATATTAATGCAAAAGATAGCAAACATCAAACAGCTCTTCATTATGCAGCAGAAATAAGTAGAATAGAAATAGCGGAATTTCTAATTTCTCATGGTGCTGATATAAATGCAAAATCTGTCATTAATTATACTCCTCTTCATAATGCAGTTAGATCACAGTGCATAGAAATAGTCAAACTTCTTATTTCTAATGGAGCTGATATAAATAAAAAAGATAAATCAGGACTCACACCTCTTCATCATGCAGCAAAAGAGGTGAATGGTAAAGAAATCATTGAATTTCTTATTTCTCATGGTGCTGATATTTATGTTACAGATAACTCTAATAAATCCCCACTTGATTATGCAAAAGCATTTAAATTGAAGGCAAATGAAGAATATCCGATACATCTATATTCTCACCAAAATGTATAATAAATTTTCTGTTTCATAATATTCCAATGAAAAGCAAATGGAGTTCAAAGACATGAATTGACTCAATAAAATTGCAAAAAAATTGAATGAAATATAATGTGTATTATATATAAAAAAGATTTTATAGACGTGGAGAACATTATCTTTTACTGCAGCTATCGGCGCAGTTGCAAATTAGAGCCATTAGATTCCGATTAAAATAAATTAGCTCCAATAGAAATCAAATAATCTCATATAGGATTATATGATGTAACTGAAAGAGCTGTGTTTCCCTTATGATTCCTTGCTTCTTTATTAGCTCCAATTGAGATAAGATATTGAACAACATTAAGATAGCCATTTTGTGATGCATAAATGAGTGAAGTAGATCCAGAATTATCTTTTGCTTCTTTATTAGCTCCAACTGAGACAAGATATTGAACAACTTCAAGATTACCGTATTTTGATGCTTTAATGAGTGGAGTAGATCCATCACTATCCTTTGCTTCTTTATTAGCTCCAACCGAGATAAGATATTGAACAACATCAAGTTTACCGTATTTTGATGCTTTAATGAGTGGAGTAGATCCATCACTATCCTTTGCTTCTTTATTAGCTCCAACCGAGATAAGATATTGAACAACATCAAGTTTACCATATTTTGATGCATAAATGAGTGGAGTAGATCCATCATTAGTCTTTGCTTCTTTATCAGCTCCAATTGAGATAAGATATTGAACAATGTCAAGTTTACCACCTTCTGATGCATAAATGAGTGGAGTAGATCCATCACTATCCTTTGCTTCTTTATTAGCTCCAACTGAGATAAGATATTGAACAATTTCAAGATGACCTCGAAATGAGGCTTTAATGAGTGAAGTAATTCCTAAATTATCCTTTGCTTCTTTATTAGCTCCGACTGAAATAAGATATTTAACAACGTCGAGATGACCATGATGTGATGCACAAATGAGTGGAGTCCATCCATCATTAGTCTTTGTTTCTTTATCACAACCACATTCGATGAGTGATTGAACAAGTCCGAAATTTCCGTTTTTAATTGCAAAATGAAGAACATTCATCTCAGGATCAAATGAAGTTGCTTTAGGAGCAATCTTTTTTCAAAGTCCTTCTTCGCATGATTTTGAAATCATTTCATGGTTTCCTGTCGAAGAAAGATCATCAAAGAATTTGTAAACAGCTTTAAAATCATTAGATTGCTTAAGTTCTGTGATTTTAGTTAAAATATATTGTGCATGATTGTAATTTTCATTAGTTTGACTGATAGGCGCTTTTTTGGTTGCATTTTCATTTTCATTTTGAAATTCTTTTAATTTATCTTGAAGTTGTTTAATTTCTTGGGTAAAATCACTCATTTCTTTCTCTTTTTGATTTAAAGCATCAATAATACTGTCAAATGTTTTGAATTTCATGTATTTTTTGACAGCCCTCAGAATTAAAACAACTTCGTCGAGATTTTGGATAGTAACTTTTGCATCACGTGTACATAAATATAACTTTTTGGCACTAATAGTTGAATGAGATTGTTTGAGAAGAGTAACGTACTGATCAGTTGTCAAATGTGAATATTTCATGATTCTCTTGATGTCTTCAATCTTGAATGTATCGAAGAAGTTTTCATTCTTAATATAATCACTTACATGAGCTGCAATGTCTTCGAAATTCAGATTCATGTTTTTTGAAAAAAAAAATCGGGGAGGTTTTTTGTGATATGGAAAAATGTTCCTTGCTCAATTATCTCACTATTGGATGGACTTTTATCGAGCGAAATTTTGGCTGTAAAGACAATTCTGATATTGGTAACATGGTGATAAGAACAAATAGTCAGTTTGCATGGTTTATGATGAGATAATTTCGATTTAAAAAAAAACATAAAAATTGATTTTAATGAGCGACTATATTTGAATATGCTCTCCTAATTTGAAGGAACTGGTTAAATCATGAATTGATCATGAATAATTTTTTTTCAAAATAACAATTATAATTTCATATTCATTATAAGTTGAAAATATATCATAAAGACTTTATGAATGATAAATTCCTAAAAAACAAGTTAGTTTGTTTCTGAAAATAATAATAATAAAAACCAATTTAGACCCAATAATTTTTGGCGGGATAATTGAGATGTTTAACAAAAACAGAAAGGTGTCATTATTATCTATGACCAACAAGCAACTGACCTAGTCTGGATTACAATATTCGGTTCATCAAACCGCCAATTTGATGAATCAAGCCAAATTGTAACTGACCTAGTCTGGATTACAATATTCGGTTCATCAAACCGCCAATTTGATGAATCAAGCCAAATTGTAACAAACCAGTTGTTGATTGCATGGTATCATTCATCGAACTGCCAATTTGATGAATTACATTTCTTAGTCATCAAAATAGTGGTCATGTTACTATTCGTTAGGTTAAATTACTTTTAATGCCCATTCAAGGAAGTACATGTCAGTTACAGGGTTTATAGTTTTACTCGAATTGAGTAAACCTCTTGGAAGCAATTACCACAAGAGCCAAGACTTCTCGTTTACAGACTTTGAAAGCCAGGAAGGAGCCAGGTAACAATAATGGGCTCTCTTATGATAATTTGGGATATTTATCAACAATTTGAGTTTCTACCTATTGTCTTCAATGAGGATTTTTTAGGCCAGAAGTACAATACCTGTACAGTCTAACTACTAGGGCAATGTAGTCAAACTGTGCACGTATTGAACTTCTAAGGCTATTATTTATCTGCTATTGACATCATTCTTTTACATTACCGTCCTCTGGTCCTTAGAGGACCATAGATTCTGAAATTACTTGTGCAGAGCAAAGTTCTTCCGAGATCTCTCTATCCTTCGTAGATCTCGGAAAAACTTTGCCTTAAACTACTGCATTAATGTTTCCTAGTATTCAAAGAGCTATGAATTCTATAGTTGATCTTATAAGGTAGAGTTTTTCCTAACTTTCTCATTCGTTGAAAGGTTTTCAACAAAGCTATACCTTAAAAATCTGTGCTTGTTATATCTGATCATTTGTGTGTTAGGGGATGTAAATTTATTCCACTAGAGCAAATTTTTTCCGAAGTTTCTCATTCGATGAGAAACCTCAGAACAACTCTTCAATAGTGTAATGAATTTGTGGTATTTGTCCTGCAAACAGCGAGAGAACTTGTCTGTAATTCGTTTATGATGAAGTTATCTGGATGTCTCTCAGATGAGGAAGGAAGTCCAGAAAACTTCACCATAAGTTAATACTTGTGTATTTCTATGACTCTCTTCACGTCAGAGAATGTAAATTTACTCGAATAGGGCAAAGTTCTGCTCAAGTTTCTCATTTGATGAGAAACCTCGGAAGAACTTTGCCCTAAGGTAATGTATATGTGATTGTTGGCCCGCAGAGAAACAAGGAATCTGTTTGTATTTCGTTTATGGTGAAGTTCTCGGATGTTCTCTCAAATTATATGGAAAATCAAGAGAACTTCACCATAATTTGTTGTAGTTGTGATTCTCTGGCTCTTTGCCGGCCAGAAAACTAGAAAATAGTTTATAGTGGGAGTATGCTCGATGAATACCTACTCACTAAAAATATACGTTATTTTTTGTTTTCCTATGGGAAAATAGTTTTGATTTTTATACTATCGTATGCTTTGTTATTGCATGAATTGTCTATTTTCTTAATAAAAACTCATTTTTCCGTGTGATTCTGAATCAATGCATTCCAAAAAAGCGTTTTCCGCCTTTGAAACGTGAAAACACACATTGCATGAAGAATCAGAGAAGATTTTCTATCTTTCAATTTTTTAGACTTTTTGAAATTTGATAATAACTCCAAATTAAGCTGATAAACTCATAGAGCACATAAAATAACACAGGTCTATCATATTTGAATTTTCTAAAAATCTCCAAAAAAATCGCGTTTTAAAAATTTCGTAGTTAAAAAGTAAAATTTTCACGATAAAAAAACTATAATTGGTTTTTTTGGAATTCTTCGAGTTAGAAAATCTTCTCTGATTCTTCATGCAATGTGTGTTTTCACGTTTCAAAGGCGGAAAACGCTTTTTTGGAATGCATTGATTCAGAATCACACGGAAAAATGAGTTTTTATTAAGAAAATAGACAATTCATGCAATAACAAAGCATACGATAGTATAAAAATCAAAACTATTTTCCCATAGGAAAACAAAAAATAACGTATATTTTTAGTGAGTAGGTATTCATCGAGCATACTCCCACTATAAACTATTTTCTAGTTTTCTGGCCGGCAAAGAGCCAGAGAATCACAACTACAACAAATTATGGTGAAGTTCTCTTGATTTTCCATATAATTTGAGAGAACATCCGAGAACTTCACCATAAACGAAATACAAACAGATTCCTTGTTTCTCTGCGGGCCAACAATCACATATACATTACCTTAGGGCAAAGTTCTTCCGAGGTTTCTCATCAAATGAGAAACTTGAGCAGAACTTTGCCCTATTCGAGTAAATTTACATTCTCTGACGTGAAGAGAGTCATAGAAATACACAAGTATTAACTTATGGTGAAGTTTTCTGGACTTCCTTCCTCATCTGAGAGACATCCAGATAACTTCATCATAAACGAATTACAGACAAGTTCTCTCGCTGTTTGCAGGACAAATACCACAAATTCATTACACTATTGAAGAGTTGTTCTGAGGTTTCTCATCGAATGAGAAACTTCGGAAAAAATTTGCTCTAGTGGAATAAATTTACATCCCCTAACACACAAATGATCAAATATAACAAGCACAGATTTTTAAGGTATAGCTTTGTTGAAAACCTTTCAAATAAAGAGAAATTTAAGGAGAAATTTGCCCGTTTGATGTATGGTGAGAAGCATATTTGAGAGTTTGGAGAGGCAAAGTGCAATCACCTATCAATATTGCACTTTGCCTGTCAAAAGTTCCTCGCATCTCTTGAGGTGTGAGGAAGTTTCTCGACAGAGGAAACTTTCATATCGAATGTTGCCTCTGTCGAGATGTATGTGACAGGCAAAGTGCAATCACCTATCAATATTGCACTTTGCCTGTCAAAAGTTCTTCGCATCTCTTGAGGTGTGAGGAAGTTTCTCGACAGAGGAAACTTTCATATCGAATGTTGCCTCTGTCGAGATGTATGTGACAGGCAAAGTGCAATCACCTATCAATATTGCACTTTGCCTGTCAAAAGTTCTTCTTCGCATCTCTTGAGGTGTGAGGAAGTTTCTCGACAGAGGAAACTTTCATATCGAATGTTGCCTCTGTCGAGATGTATGTGACAGGCAAAGTGCAATCACCTATCAATATTGCACTTTGCCTGTCAAAAGTTCTTCGCATCTCTTGAGGTGTGAGGAAGTTTCTCGACAGAGGAAACTTTCATATCGAATGTTGCCTCTGTCGAGATGTATGTGACAGGCAAAGTGCAATCACCTATCAATATTGCACTTTGCCTGTCAAAAGTTCTTCGCATCTCTTGAGGTGTGAGGAAGTTTCTCGACAGAGGAAACTTTCATATCGAATGTTGCCTCTGTCGAGATGTATGTGACAGGCAAAGTGCAATCACCTATCAATATTGCACTTTGCCTGTCAAAAGTTCTTCGCATCTCTTGAGGTGTGAGGAAGTTTCTCGACAGAGGAAACTTTCATATCGAATGTTGCCTCTGTCGAGATGTATGTGACAGGCAAAGTGCAATCACCTATCAATATTGCACTTTGCCTGTCAAAAGTTCTTCGCATCTCTTGAGGTGTGAGGAAGTTTCTCGACAGAGGAAACTTTCATATCGAATGTTGCCTCTGTCGAGATGTATGTGACAGGCAAAGTGCAATCACCTATCAATATTGCACTTTGCCTGTCAAAAGTTCTTCGCATCTCTTGAGGTGTGAGGAAGTTTCTCGACAGAGGAAACTTTCATATCGAATGTTGCCTCTGTCGAGATGTATGTGACAGGCAAAGTGCAATCACCTATCAATATTGCACTTTGCCTGTCAAAAGTTCTTCGCATCTCTTGAGGTGTGAGGAAGTTTCTCGACAGAGGAAACTTTCATATCGAATGTTGCCTGTCGAGATGTATGTGACAGGCAAAGTGCAATCACCTATCAATATTGCACTTTGCCTGTCAAAAGTTCTTCGCATCTCTTGAGTGTGAGGAAGTTTCTCGACAGAGGAAACTTTCATATCGAATGTTGCCTCTGTCGAGATGTATGTGACAGGCAAAGTGCAATCACCTATCAATATTGCACTTTGCCTGTCAAAAGTTCTTCGCATCTCTTGAGGTGTGAGGAAGTTCTCGACAGAGGAAACTTTCATATCGAATGTTGCCTCTGTCGAGATGTATGTGACAGGCAAAGTGCAATCACCTATCAATATTGCACTTTGCCTGTCAAAAGTTCTTCGCATCTCTTGAGGTGTGAGGAAGTTTCTCGACAGAGGAAACTTTCATATCGAATGTTGCCTCTGTCGAGATGTATGTGACAGGCAAAGTGCAATCACCTATCAATATTTGCACTTTGCTGTCAAAAGTTCTTCGCATCTCTGAGTGAGAAGTTTCTCGACAGAAACTTCATATCGAATGTTCCTCTGTCGAGATGTATGTGACAGGCAAAGTGCAATCACCTACAATATTGCACTTTGCCTGTCAAAAGTTCTTCGCATCTCTTGAGGTGTGAGTTTCTCGACAGAGGAAACTTTCATATCGAATGTTGCCTCTGTCGAGATGTATGTGACAGAAATGCATTATCTTATTGAGAATTGAATATAGTTCAACAAATTTCATTTCACAAAAGAACTCCACAAAACAGTTCAAATATTAATATTATTCCAAATAATCAAAAATATACAATAATAATTCATGTAAGAAAGCCATTCAGATGTAGAAAGAATTTAGTCTTAAATTCATGTTGACTAAACGAAACAATAAGTATAAATATATTGCATTTTTAATAAATGAGTCTGATTTGATTTTACGTGTAGTTAAATATGTTTCAGTGTCATTGTTTCAGCTTTCTTGAAGCTTATGGCAATTGGGCAATTCTCAATAACGTACAATTGCCAAAAAAGTTTAAGGTTTGGCAATTCACTCAAATCACTGCGAAAAAAATAACGTACAATTGCCAAAACCAAAATTGCCTTGGCAATTGTACGTTATTTTAAAAAGAGTTTACATTGAGTATCTCTAGTTTCGCTATAACCTAATACACAACATCACAAAAAAATATAAATCCTTCGGCAAAAATATCAAATGACTCAATTTCAAATATCAAATTTCTAAAAATCATCAATAATGCCACCATTTTATTTCATAAATATATAGAAACTAAAATATAGCATTCTCTTGCTTCTTTCAGACTTAAATAATGCAAAATTTACTATTTTTTTTCAAAACTTCGCTCATCCAAGAATTGCCAAGCTTGGCAATTCGTGATGAACAAAATTTGCGCTTTTGGCAGTTCCGACATCCTTAATGCTATTTAAAAAATCAAAGTTATTGTAAAAAAAATATTAATTTAATAAATAAAAATAAACATTAGAACTTCAAGTTATTCTTGAGGCTATTAAAGAGATCATTAAGTTCAGAGTCCTTTGGTAATTCTCTGTTTTTGATTACCTCATCAACAGTAGACGTCTGACGCTTGTTTGATTTTTTGAGGAGTTCATTAATTGATTCAACATTCTTCTTCATTCTTTCTCTGACTGTTTCCTCATTATCAGATGTTTCCTGAACAGCTTTCATGATGAAATCTCTCAGGATTTCTTCAATATTCTTTTCATCTGCATTAGTATTAAGTATCTGTTTCACAGTACCAATAACAATATCGATTAGATCAGGAGTTGCGTCGTTTTCAAGAGATGAACTGAACTGGTTCATGAATTCCTCAGAATTATTACTCTTGAACACCAACAAAACTAGTTTTCCTATTTCTTCAATAGCGAATTTATGCAATCCGTCAATCAACAGTTTGAAACCTAATTTTCCTAGATCAACACAAATGCTTTGTTTGTAAGCCATGTATATTTCTTGGTTATCTGATTGCGCTGTTTCCATAAGATTTGCGAAATTTCTTATGTATTGTAGACAATTAATTGATTGTTCCTGGAGAGACGAGTTACAACCAAATCTTAATATCTCGTATATTTTAATCAATTGATCGAATTCCAATGACAAAACGTATTTTGGCATTGAATTAATCAATCTATCAAGGAAAGAATAGAATTCTTCACTTAAATCAGGATATTTGTACTGATCATCACTTTCTATTATCACTGTTGTTTTTTCGAAAACACGATCCATTATATCATTAATCATATCCTGTAATTCATCATCCATTCTCGCAATCAATGTCGCTAAAAATGTCAGTGTTTGAGGAAGACACAAATCAGGATCAGATTGAGAATAATCAGTCATTATTACGTAGATGAAATCTCTTTCCAAAACAGGCATAATTGTTGTTTTTGGATCATCAAGATAAGAAATGAATTTATGCAAATGCAGCATGATTGATGCTCTGCAATTACGACATAATTCTCTCACTAACAAATCCCCTGAAGATGCATAAATATCTTTGAAACTATTCATGAATTCTCCCAAATTAATTGTTCTAAAAATATCAATATATTGAGAACTGAATGTTTCAACATAAGAATTCATTATAGACAAAGTATTTGTGAAGTATTTCCATGTCGGAATTGATTCCTTGTTGAAATTAATCATACAAAATTCAACTCTTTTAAAAATGATTTGTTTCAATGCTTCGATGCAGCGTCTTCCATATTCAGTGTCTTTTATTGAATTGATTGATCTGCAAAGACAATGAACAAAGAGTTTTAGTTCGTCTTTGTAGTTTTCCAATGTTATTGTTTCATTTAATTTGTCGAGAAGGATGTCAATTGCTGTTTTATTTTCCCATGATTCATTTGGTTGTGAGAAAATACTTGTGTTTGCAATACTGATAAATAACAAAGTATTTATCACAAACAACAACAATTTCTCCCATCCAAAATTCAACAAATCAAACAATGCTTCAAAAACATTTGCAAATAATTCATTATTATCTCCAATAAATTCAAAAGAATACATAACAACAACACTAAAACAAATTCCTAATCTTTCTGCTGTTTCATCATATTCTCCTTGTCTTTCATTTGTTATTCCATTGATTTCATACATCAAATATCGGAAGATTTCTTCTAAGAAAGGATAAGCTTTGCCAGGAACTAATGCTTCTTTATTAGAAACTGTTGAAACTGCCCAACAAAAATGTTCGATATCATCAATTGTTTCTAATTTTGGCTTCTTTGCTTTAATGACATCTATTACTAATTGGCTAAAGAAAACATCTATTGCTGAGATACATTTCCTCATTGATTCGAAATCTTCATTTTTGACAACTCTTTTTTCTTCATTATTATACAAATCAATGAAAGGTTCAATGACTAAAGGAGCAGGCATTTTATCAACTAATATTGTTGCAATTCTTGGAATAAAACATGTATCAAAATCTTCTTGTGTTACTTGGTTGTTCGCTTGTATTAAATATTCATATAACAATGCTTCACATGATTCAATTAATATGTCTGTATTTGCTTTCTCCGTGATACCTAATGCAACATCAAAAACAAAGTTGAATTGATCACCATTTATGATGTAGATTCCATATAAATCTAATAGTTTTGAAAGTAAATCAATGAAACTGGGCCAGCAATTGGAATTTTCTGAAAGTTGGATTGTGTTGCATTTTGAAAGTAACATTTCTAAAACATCACTAGTGAATTTTAAAGGATTCGCGTAATCTGGCAAAACAATTTTGGCAAAAATCTCATTGACAATTGATATGGAGGTTGCAGCAAGCTTTGGACGACTCATGAAGCTCTCTTTGACTTTTTCGATGAATTCATTTTGATATAATTTTTGGGATACGAAACTATTGCATTTAATGATGCTGCAACAGCAATTTAGAGCAGAGTTTATGACTTCATCGTCATTTCCCGCTGGGTCTAATGCATCAGTGATGTCTTCTTGGACATTATCATAATCACTGTTGTAAAATTGCTTGGAAAGGTTGTTAAAGTGGTTGTAAGAGAATCTACGATAAAGATAACTGTTGTTTTCTTCGCCCATTTTGATTGATAAAAATAACATAAAACTACCAATCAAATTAAAGTATTTTTCGAGGTGTTTCGGGTTGCGGGGCTCTTCTTGACTTATGGTTTGTCTGACCCTGATGAAGAATGAGCTCTGGCTTGCATTGTAATCTTGGATTAAAATTTCATTGAAAATGTCATAGATTTTGTTGATCAGCTGATTGGGCATTTCGTTTTCTGGACTGAAGACAAGCTCAAGTAAGTAATTAATTATATTCTCCTTGATATCTTGCTCCACTAAATTCCATCTTCTTTCGGCACAGGATTCAAGATTTTGAAGTACTGTAAACTTGACCATGATATCTGAATCACTGTTGAATATATTTTCGGTAATTAAGTATGATTCTGGATCTTTTTGGAAATCACAGAGAATATGGTTAGCATCTTCTAGAGATATGTTCGAATTTGTGTCTTGGACTTTAAGAATGTTAACACAGTAGTTGAGTAATTCGATCTTTTGGTGAATATCTTCAGTCATCAAAATTATTGTCAAAATTTTTCTGACTAAAAGTGAAGTTCGCTTTTTTCAAACAAAATAGACATTTTTCACTATGTATTGAGTTTTTGTTAAAATTTTTCCATTAAAAAGTGACAAAATTTATTAATTATGCCATCCAAAATTTTTCCAAAAACTCATGAGCCAAATAAGTTGCTCGTCGAAGGGATATTGAAAGACTGGTAGATATTGACAATAATGCAAGAAAGTGTGAAAATTTGGAAAAAATAAACAAAAAATTTTATAAAATAATCTAATATAAATATTCTAATCTATAAGTAAATCAGTTTTCCTGACCTTTCCGACCTGATTCTGGGGATTTCGAACAAAATAATTTTCTCCATCATCCTTTTCAACAATAAAATGACATGTTGGATAAATTCCAAGGAAATCTCCATGAGAAACCTTTGTTTCCATGGTCATTTCCATCTTTGTATAGCTAGTTGTAATCGCATTTGTTGGAACAAAAGCTTCTGCGAAATTCCTGTTGTGAGAGGCCAAAACCCAGCTTCCAATAGGTTTTTCGTATAAGTAAAGTGTTTCTCCAGCTTTAATTGAAAGTTCGTTGATATTTTTTGCGTCAAAATCATAAATTGCTTTGGCAACGAACAGAGGATAGTCTATTGCTGGAACTTTAATGTGTGATGGCCGTAAAATTATATCATTATCTTCAATGAATGGATTTGGCTGAGGAACAAAGGTAACATCGGACAAATTCGTTCGGAAAATATTGTATTTGTTAATGAAAGCACTAAGATACGATTCTCCGCTATACAAATTCGATAATTTAGAATATTTTTGTTCCATTTGGTCGAAAACCTTCAAATAGTTCACACTGGAGTCCATGTATATATCAGACAACTTCAAAAAGAAGTCCAAGCAAACTTGTGACCTAGCTCTGTCAAGACCTTTCATCTTGTCTATTGAAATCTTGACAAATCGATCGTATAGTACGAACTGTTGATTAAGTTTTCGCGTTAGTATTTTGGTGCACTTTAAAACGACCATATATTGCTGAGAGAAAGAGGTCAATTTAGTTGTATCATTTTTCTTACTTGCGGATGTGATATCTTTAGCCATCGACCTCAAAGCAGAATAGTTAGAAAATATTGTTCCGCGAAGTTCTTTGTATTGTTTTTCCATCAATGCTTTCTTCGTAAAAATGTTATCAAGTACTTTATTCGCATTACTAACACAATCAACTATTTTTGGATGCAAATGATTGCTAACAATCATCATCAATAAGCTAATTTGTGTTGAAACTTCTGAAAAGATTTCTGAAAGTCTTTTGTATGAAGATATTTGATTCGTTGCTCCCGTTGTGTTCTGGGATATTACTTGGGCAGACTTGTTAAGTGATTCATATATTGCCGATGATGTTTCGCTAACATGTTTATTATAATTCTCACATAAGTACTGTAGGATACTTGGAAGTGCTGATGTTCCTTTGACCATTTTTTTCTCTATGTTAAGAATGTATTCAAATTCTTGAACTAGTTCTTCAAATTGAGCATTTTGTTGATCAAAGATTTCCATATAAAATTTATGTTCTGAAATTAAACTCAATACTAAAAATTAGACATTTTCATTACTCTCCTCGGTTTCTTATATCTAATTTATTTTACATTTTTTGAAAAGCATTCAATTGTCTGAACAGACAATTCTGATTCAATTGAATTATGGTTGAGAGAGTATATGTAAAATTGGCTGAAATAGTCCGAATTTTAAGTTTATCTAAGACACATGATCTGCAAAGGTGACGATGGTAGAATTTTAAAAGGCAACAAAAAAAACTTTTAGATAAATTGTATTTTGATAGCCTTAAATAAATAAAAATCAATGAGTTATAAGATTCAAACCTCTCAATTTCAATTTTACATTTTATAAATTTTATGTATTGGTTTGCTATTTTGATGCTTCTATATGATTGATAATTAGTGGCAAATTCTGACTGAAATGAGTATGAGTGGTATATAATTTTGACATCTTTTTATAGCCGATTAAAATGTCAAAATTGATAAAAATTTCAGATTTTATTTTTTTATGGAACAAAATTCCGAACCTACTGTTACCGAACCACAACAACCAGCTGAACAGCAGCAGCAACAAGAGCATCAAGAACCACAAGAGCAAGCAGCTACTGAAAATGCAGCTCCTCAGAACGAAACTCCAGCCCAAGGAACAAATCCACCAGCGAACACTCCAGAGGCGGCTCCAGCAACTCAAGAGCAGCAACCACAGCAGAATGATCAATCATCTCAAACTTATTACTCGCCTGTAGAAGCTATCTGGGTTGAATCACCACTACCAGAATTCATGTATTTCTTGAACAGTAATGGAACAGTTATCGAGCCACAGTTAAATAGCTTTTATCCACCAGTTGGCCCAATAGTATATGATAGAAATGGCCATCCTTTCAAAGCTGTATATCCTGCCCCTAAGACAGCTGCCCAGAAGATGGTAATTGACAAAGAAACATTACAAAGAGAGCATTTGAATCCAATTGCTGAAAAATTCCATGAACTTTTCTCTAAGAAGAAAGAAGAACCAAAATAAATTCTTCTTTACGGGCACTAGTTTCCTGTTAATGTAAAGATTTATATAACTAAACTCATTTTTACACGCCTCTAGGCAGATCCAACTTTTTGTTGTTTCAATTTATCTGTTGCCTTACTTGAAATTTTGTATTTCAAATTTTGAATTAAAAGTGACTCCGAGCTCGGAAAATAAAATGCAGCAAATGGATCAATAAAGTTAATTATGCAAATCGACAATCTTGTCGTCACTTTTTTCAATTTGACAATGAAAAGAACGCAAATACCATCATCAAACAGGCCAATTTTAAAGACAATTCTTGTTGGTAATACAGGTGTTGGTAAGACTTGCCTTATATCGTCATCCTTTAAGAATGCTTTTGAAACAAAATCCAATCCCACTGTGGCCCCATCCTACAACTTTACTGATATAGTTAATTGCGACAAGGTTAGCGTTCGCTTACAAATATGGGATACTGCTGGACAGGAAAGATATGTATCTGTTTCACAATTGTTCTTCCGTGATTCAGATATCGCCTTTGTCTGCTTTGATTCATGCGATAAGGAATCTTTTGATGGAATTAATAATTGGGTGTCACGTGTTCATGATGAAGTACCAAGTTGCAAATTATTTTATGTAATTACTAAGTCAGATTTGCATACTCCTCAAGAAATCGATGAAATGCTCGAAAAAGTTGTTAACTTTTTAGGTCCTGAAAATAGGGAGAAAATTTTTGTTACATCTGCTAAGAACCGAACAGGAATTGACGAAATCTTCCTCAGTGCTGCCAACTCATATACAACTCCGCATCCACAAGCTACTTCAAAGGTTAATATTGACGAAAAATCAGAAAAATCTGGTTGTGCATGCTGAAATTTCTGATTAGATCAGATGGCATTTATCTCATAGAATAATAGTATTTAATTCAATAACCATAAATTTATAATTTGTCTATTCAAATAAAATATGTAATTTAACATCAGAAATCACTTTTTCTTTCATATTGGCAATAAATAACTAATATGAAATAGCATTTTATAGATATGAAAAATAATATATTTTATTCTATTCACAAATAAATCATATAATTACTCCATAATAATGTAAATCTGATGAGATAGTCGTGTTAAGATTTACAGAACCAAATAAAAATTTCTTTGATAAAATTCGAGATTTTGGCTTTATAAAGTTCCTGTCATCTTCTTATAGAGGAATTCTTGTTCATTCTTTGCTGTTTCTAAATGATCCTTTAGAATTCTCTTGACTTCGTTCAAGTATGCGTTTGCATTTGGAACTTCAGCCAAAACTTTCATGGTTTCATTTGCATCATCTGGTTTGTTCAACATTATCTGTGCTTTTGCTTTTCTATATAGAACTTTTGCTTTAAATTGATCAAAATCTAATTTTGACTTCTTTATATAGTCAAGGGCATAATCGGATTGGACAACAGCTTGTGCGTATTTTCCAAGCTCCATGTAGCAAGCAACGCTATTTGTTTTACTAACAACAACGTAGTATTGAGCTCTTTGAAATTCTTCTGGATTAAGTTTCTTGAGAACTTTTGTTGTGAATGGGATTTGCATTTTATTGTAGTAGCTGTAAGCGTTTTTATACTCTCGAGATTTGAATAATTGAGTTGCTTTTTCTTTAATCGCTTCTGCAAATCCGAATCTATGTTTAATAGGTATTTCATCAACCCAGAATTGAGGCATTTGTATAGATGGATCATCATACGAAGGAAAATTATTTTCATAATCTATTTTTTCTGGTTCTTCTTCTTTTTTAGCTTCTATAACAGGAGTTGGATCTTCTCCAGTTAATTGTTTCAATAAGTCAGTTGCTTCTTTGAATTCTGGATCATATGTCAGTGATTCTTTTAAGGAATTTATTGCTTTGTCAGTAAGTGGAGGTTCTACTGCTTGGAATGTCAGAGCAACACCATATAATGCTCTAGATTCAATATATTTTTTGAATTTGTCCATATCCCAGCTCAAATGCTCATCATTTAAATCTTCGGGAGCGGAATCGAGATCTACCATGGGTCCCCATGCCATCCTTGCTCTATTAAATTCTGATCTTGCATTTCTAATTCTTTTTTCTTTGAGCAAATTATGGGCAATTGTTAATTGATTCAAGGCAAATTTCTTTCTTTGATTTGTTTCATGTTCTTGGGCTTGTCTCTTCTCTGCTATCATCTCATTTATTATTTCAAATGATGTCTTCTCCTTTTTAGGTTCTTTTTTCTCAACAATTTTTTCTGGTTTTGGTTTAGGCTCGGTTTTTACTGGAGCTTCTGGCGAAAATGCAGTTTCTTTATACTTATTTACATCTTCTTTATACTGATCTGGTGAATAATCCATTGGTTCAGCATCAACAAGATAAACTAATGCTTCATAATAATCAGAATTGTCGATTTGGCCATGAAGACCAAGAATTGATCCATCACCAACAAGATATTTCTTTGAAAAATAGACTTTGCAGACTTCTTTAACAGCCATTGTTGCAACAACTACCGGCAAGAAAAGGAACAGTTCTGATTCTTGTTTTTTATCGCCAGTGATCCAACATTGAGCACTATCCATGCAATTAACAACAATTCCTTTTGGTGACGAGATATAATATCTAACTCCAACAATTGTTCCGTTAAAATTAGAGTATCTCTTATCCCTTTCGCCTTCTTCTTCAATGTGTTTATAAATCAGTCCATCTGAAGTGAGTTGAATCGAACCAGGTGGAACTTCCATGAAACTTTATGATTAAAATTGAACATTTTTAGGTTTAACTGTCATATTTTAGCATTAAATAGCTTGAGATCTATTTCTAATCTGCTATTATTTAACAATTTGAGAAATGAAATCTGATCTCAAAAAAATACAGGATCTACTCATATATAATCTAATCATTTGGACTTTGAAAAATATATCTAAGATAAGAAATTGGCATCAAAAAGTTGTACAATTAATTTGAAGATAATTCACAAGAAGATGAGATTATATACATCATTCATTATAGAGCGCAGTTGAAAATAACAATAGTTTTTTTTATAAAAGAAATTTTATTGAATATAAAACAAAATTTAATGATTAGATTTCTTCTTTACCTTCTTTAAGAAGGCATTTACTTTGCTTTTAATGCCATCATCTTCTAGGTTCTCTGATAAACTCTTTAGCAACTTAACATTAGAGAAATTATCAACTTTTGGAAGAGAAAATTCACCTAAAACAAGTCCATTCTTAAGAGCAAGAATTAAACAATCGCTTGCACTATCATAACTCTGAGAAAGACAGTATTCAACACAAGATCCTGAATAAGGTGTTGAATTAGCTTTATCTTTCAAAGCAGCAAGCATTTGAACACCTTGCAAACTGCTGCATTTAACAGAATCAAGAATTCCTGTCTCTAAAACATCTTGGGCGCAAGAAGGTTCACATAAAACAGAAATTGCCAAAACAGAAAAAGTATCAGAGATGATTTCATCACTTTTAATGTTTTTGAGTAATTCAGCGATTTCTTTGATATGTCTTGCAGTTACTGTTGGATAATTACCAGCCAATGTTTTTAGAACTTTTATGTATTCGTAAACTCTTTCTTCTTCTTTTTCTTCCTGAGAAATCGAAATTGCTTCATCCAAAAACATTGGAATAACAAAACTTGCTGTGTCTTCTGTTATTTCTGGACATTTATCAGATGATTTCTCATCCAAATACGCGTTTTGAATGAATTCTGTTAGTTGTTCATTTTCAATTCCAGCGAAAGACATCAAACAAGTGCTTGCGAGTTCTCTTGCTTCTTCATCTGTAGAGAATATCTGGTTCTTCAGTTCAGGAATGATATCATCCAAAGGAAGATCAGGAACTTCTTCTTCTGTCTGATGTTTCGATTCATTTTGATGGATTTTGTTCATCACAGATGATCTCAAATTACTTGGCAAATACTGCTCAATTGCAATGATCATGTCTGGGTAATTATCAGCAGTCAACTGCAGGAGATCGTAGAACTTCGTTGAGTTTGCGTTTCTCTCTGAAAAAGTTCCTAAAAACTGAGCATCGAAGATTTCTTCCAAAGAAGAAATTGATTCATCTCCTTTTTCTTGTGTTGCTGCTTCAATCGAGTTTAAAATCTGATCCAAGCATTCACCAACGTTTTTAGATGACTTGATTGTCATTGGATCTTTCTTGTCAGTCAAAACCGAAATGATCATTCTCAATAATTGCGGTTTTTCTGAAATTTTGTGAGATTTCAAATATTCAGAGATGAAAGCGCACAAAATATCATAAGTTATCCAAGAATCGATTGATTCGAATGACTCAATGATTTTGTTGAATTTCTCTTCAGAGTCTTCAACGAAATGAAGTGCAGAAGCTGCCAATTTCATCAAAATTTCAACACTTGAAACAGATAAAAGTGACATTTGTTTCAAATCCAATTCCTCGAATTTTTCCAAGTACATTTCGCTTCCTTCTTTATCAGTTAATATATATTCTGTGATCTTCTTGGACCACGCCATGACTTGGCTCGAAAGAGATCCAATCGGGAAGAAAATGGAAAGGAAGAATTCTCTATGATTTTTGTCACCTTTGAACTGAGACAAAACTAAGTCAGAATACGACATGGAATTGGAAATAATGAATGGCCAGTATTCTGAATTCTCTTTGTCGATTTTCTCAATCATTGGTTTAGAAATGGCCGCTTCACATTTAGATGTCAAACCGTCTTGGACATAAAACAATAAAGAAGCAGTTGTTTGTGTATCAGAGCCACTTGTTAAATTATTGAACTCTGAAATGTCAAAAACGGTTATTTTATCGTTATCGTTCAAATACCAAGTTTCGTTTTCATTTGAACTTTTGACCAACGACAAATATTTACCACTCTTTATGTTGTGTCCTTGATGCAAAATTAATCCTTGCAATGAGTAGTTGTTGCAAGTATTATTTGGATGAGAAATGAATTTAGGAATCATGAAACTGTCAAAGTTCTTGTTATATTCTCCTGTTTGGCATCTATTTAATGAAATTACTAAAATTCGTGGCCACATTCTCACTTCATTTTCTTTACAAAATGAATTCAAAGATTCAATTAAATTTGTAAAGTTGGCGGTTTGTAAAGTTACCGTCAATCTCGACTGCAAAGCCAATTTGGAGATTTCGCTCACTTCACTTTTACTGACCACTTTAGATTCGAACAAACCCTTCAAATTCAGGTTTAAATTTCCGATTTGGTTGTCCATATGAGCGACCAAAGAAATGAAGAGAGAATCAGGCAATCTGTGAATTAAGTTCTTGATGTATGTGAACTCGATAAACTTCTCTAAACTCACTTTATGTGATCTTAAATTCCTAAACAAGGTAATGAGTTCTTTGACACTTTTTATTGTTTCTGAATCAGAGAAATTATTTTCCAAAATTAAAGAAGTGAAACAATATAAATTGAAAAGGACTTGGAGAATACTTGATAGGCAGGAATACTCATTGTTAACACCTGTAAACGTTGATTGCGGGAAATATGAGAAATCATCTGTCAAAACCGTCATTTTCAAGTCAATTTTTTCTGACAAAACTTTCAATCTTTCTATGCAATCGAAATTCGACAAAAACTTGATTGCAGCGTTCCTTGTTTCCTGTGTCTGTATGAAAGGAAGATTCTTATTGATGTATGTTGGAGAATTAAACAACATTTTATAGACTTTTTCCATGTTTTCGTCACTTTTTGTTATTAATTCCAACAAATTTATCAAAGTTTGGTCAACATCACTTGTATAGCTTGTTTCGAACTGTACTAAGTCTCTGAAGAAGGAATCAAAGACATACGAATCAATGTCTTTCCGAACTTTCTCAATACTGAAGAATTCTTTTGATTTCGAGCGGTTTTCAGTTTGACAAGCATAAACTAACAAAGAAATCAAATCTTCTTTGGGAGTTTCGTAAGACATCATCGAAGAAACGCATTGTCTCACTAATTCTTTGTTGGAACAGATCAAGCAATCATGTAAAATGTGATGTGAAAAAATTAATCCGTTAGGTGAACCCAAAAGTGACAAAGAATGAGTTGCAATTGCCAAAGAAACTTTGTCAATGTTGTTTGTCGAATTTAAGTATTCGAGGATTGTTTCTATTGTATTCTGCTGCAATGTCTGTTTGTTTTCTGCCAAATTTTTCAGAACAAATGGGAAAATTTTGACATTTTCTGACATTTCCATTGAAAAGGAAAATCTTTTCATGAAAATGTTCTGGAGATCGCTTGGAACATTGGATTGGACTGAATAATTTGTTCTCCCCAACAACTCAAGAACCAGAAAGATCTGTTGAGTGAAATTATTCAAGTGTCCCAACATCGAAAACAACTGATTACTTACATCGTTGTTTAAAATAATATTCAAAGTGGAAGAATTCTGGATCTCGTTGAGTTCTTCAGGTTTCAAGTTCTGTTTGACGACTTTCAGCTTGAGAGGCCTTGTAAATGACAAAGGAACAGTGGAAAGGGAATTTTTCAGTGTCAAATAAACATCATTTTCGTAGAAAAGTTGGAAGTTGTTTTGCTCCATGTCCAAAATGGATTTGACTTCATTGTAGATCCTAGTCGTTGTATGGAAAGGATGCAATGATATGGTGCCTTCGATTTCTTCGCCATCTTTCAATAAAACCACTTTTTGAATGAAACCGAATTGTTCGTTAATTCTGAAGAAATCTGCTTCCAACTGCGCGATGGAAATGATCATTGGAAGTATGGAATTTGTCTTTGTTTGGTCAGACAGAGCTGTTGAAATTGCTTCGACCACTTTTTCGATGTCTCTCTTCTCATCTCCAATTGTATTCAAGATATACAATGAAAACCAGCGAGATAACTGCGGAGGAACGGTGTCTTTGAGGATCTTCTGTATCAGAAGTCTAATGGAACGCTTGTTGGTCGCTCTTTCTGAGACAACTTGGAGAATTCGAGGTAAACAAACGTGGCAATTGGAATATTCCATTTGAGTGAAGCGCTGGATAAGCACATTCTCAGGAATATTCGAGAAATTGCTGATCCAGTGTACAAATGTCGTTGCCATGCTTGTAACAAAACTATAATTCTGATTTCCGGTGAAAGAATCGACCAATTGATCAAAGAAGCAGAGACATGGCTTGTCTGAGTCGTTCTTTGATATTAATTGTGGTATTTCTTTGAAAATGTACTCGATTTCTGAATTAAATATTCCGGAAGAGAAAATCTTTTCAATAAATAAGCAGATAAGATCTGTTTTGGCTATTCTCAATAAAAAGTAGCCAAGATTTTCAATAGGAACATCTTGTTCGCTTGAATTTAATTCTTCTCTGAATAATCCAATGCATTTATCGCCAGATCTTAATTCTAGTTTCTCTGTTCTACTCTTTGGCTTTGCTGCTGCAAGTCTGCAGAACATTGCGTGAGAAATTTCGTAATTATCTGAGCGATCAATTAAAAATGCCCATAAAGCAGGAGAAAAGACTTCGTAAGGCAAGCAATGTAGAGCAATAGTATTCAGTGGCTCCAAATATGATCCGTAGATGGTCATTATTGCGTTGGCGCATGATTGAGCGACATTTCCTGAATGGCAGAGAAAAGCATAGGCATCTCTTTGTTCAAATGGAACCAAACCAATCAATGACGTAAGGCATTCAATGATCTGTATGGAAAGAAGGTCATTTGTCACCCAACTTAACGCATCCAATAAAATTCTCTTGAGAGGATCGGCAGAATTGACAACTGTGCCAAGATCTGCAATTTTTATGGAGTACTGGACAATTTTTTCTTTGTTTTGTTTGGATTCTGCCTTGAAATAATTGGATGTCAATGAAATTATCATGTTATTCGATAGCGAATGAACGTACGTGCAGTAATCCGAAAAGTATTTTGCAATTAGCATTAGTAAATCGATTGTAATGTCATGAGATAATCTTTTTGTTAGTTTATCAATAGAATAAGCCAAGACAGCGGATAATTGCTCGCGCTTTAGTAAAGGAATAATTGAATTGAGAAAGATAATGATTTTGATTAGTTTTGGCTCAGCTAAATCTTCTATTTCGAGTAATTTAAGCTTTTCTGTCTTAAAAAATGTAGATATCAAAGACGTAAAAAGCTTTGTTGCACTTTCCGATAGTTTGACGTCGTCTTTTTTATCAAACAAGATATTCATGATTTGAGTATCTTTTAATTCATCAGTATCAACCATGATTTTGAAGTCGTGTTTTTCTAGAGAATTAAGTAATTGAATTTTGATATTCTCGTTCGATTCTGATGAGAAAATAAAATCCATGACGTTATTTGCAAGATTTGTGATTGATTGCTGTAAATCAGAATCTTCTATTTCTGGGGATAAGATGTGCTTGCATTTTTCGATGATATCTGTGAATTTTGTGTCGTTATCTGTTGAATCTTTTTGTATCTCGCCGATTTCAACGAACTTTTGAATTATTTCTTGATCAACAGGGCACAATAGTTGTGATTGTTGCTGTTCACTATCTGCTCCCATTTCACTTGAAGGAGGGGCGGGAGGAACGTAATCCTCCTCACTCATTTTTTTGAATCTATCAATGAAAAAATAGACAGCGACTAATAAAGGAACCGAAATATGCATATAAAAGATGATTTCGAATATAGTAAATCTCTAATTTTGAGAAAAACTTTCACAAATTATTCAAAAAAATTTTATTATCATGTTTCAAGATGAACTACTAGGATCAATAACAAGCTTATATAAAAATAATTTGAATTTTCGTTTGGGCAGCTTTCATATTGGATCAAAAAATCAAAGTATTGACAAAGTTTAACTCATGCCTAAACCAACATATCACTATGATAACATAGTATTATCCTTTGAAATTTTGCATTTCAAAAGCAATAAATATCCCTTATTTTATAAATTTGATTTGCATTCACTATTATTCAAAGCATTTATACAAAAGAATTACTGAACTTCTATCATATGATAAGAAAAAGTATCATATTATTGAAAGTAAATTAAATTATTATAAAAAAATCTTTTGTTGAGATCTAAAAATATATGTATATAATATTTACTAAAAATCTATATGAAAAAAGAATTATTTCATTGTTGTGCAACAGATTTCTTGATAACTTCAATAAACTGTTGCACTTCCGTTGAATCACTAACGAATTTTTTGTTTGATAGATTAATTTCTTTGTCAGTGATGATGTGGTTGATGAAGCAACGCAATCCCCATGGCTGTGGAGATGGTGTAGAGAATCTTTCGATTGCCAATGTGACAATCAATTCATCAATCTTCGGCTTCTTCATCAAATTAATTATGTATTTCATGAAAACATTTGTTATTCTTCCTGGATTTCTTAATTGGTCGAATAAAACATGTAAAACATTTATCATTGTTTCAGGAGTACTGTTATCAACTAATAAGTCTAACATCTTGTTGATATCCTTGCATTCAGTCTTGTTAATCAAATAGACAATGAAAGAATGCAAAGCTGTTGTTCCACTCCTTTTTTCAACTTGAGAAACAAATTTCTTCATTGTTTCTTCATTTTGTATTTCATCAAATGATAATTCACTGATTAGTTTAGGTGTTACTTGTTTCAATTTAGTAAAGCTATCATCAGTAAACTGTTCAGTGATTGGAGGTAATTTTCCTTTAGGAGAAACACTTAAGAAAATGTTTCTTAGTTGTGTAAAATGTGAACCAAACATCGAGCAAACTTCAAGGGAAATATCATACATGAAATCAGGGAAATCATGAAATAATATCAAGATGAAGCGAAGTAATGACTTATAGTACACTTCGAATGCATCTTTTGCATGTGCTCCTTGCAAATAAGTGACAGCAAATGTATAATCTTCTAACAATAATTTCATAACTTCTGGATAATTTTGTATCAAATAAGAAACGAAATGGTTGTGAGTAATTAATTGTGCCCAGTCTGGTGTGAATGTTGGTGCGTTCAATGGCCTTAAGTTATGCAGCAAACTGGCAATAATTAGAAGTTTTGTGTTGTTTGCATAAAAAGTTATGAGTCTTATTAAAATATCGTAATATTTTCTAAAATCGAAAGATATTACGTGAGAATTTCCTTGTATTACAAGTTCCAAGGATTCCAGGATATGAGAGAACGATGCATCTAATAATTTTGCCTTGTGAACTAATGAAATGAATTTGGAAATTGTTTCTTCTGATTCAGAAAAGAAAAGATAAACAAAGAAATTCTTTCCGTATTCCAAACATTCCATTATTTTGTCTACACTGTCATCATCAGCGATTTCTTTCCATTCCATTAGTAATAACTGTATCTTCTCTAAGTCCTGGAGTTCTTCCAATGGATCGAATATTGATACACTCTGTAATTTCGAGTTTGTACTCAAAACATTCAAAGGAACATCCATTGTATCCAAAACTTTCTGGAGTTCATCAATTGGCAACTGTTGTGTCTGTGTTGTGATGGACTCAATCAAAATGTTTGGTGTGGTTACAACAAATGACAAAGAGTCAATCATATCACTCGGTTTAAGTGTTGGTTTTTCGATCAATGTTTGATGTAAAAATCTGACAGCAAACATATACAAACGACCATTAAATGGTTGTCTATTTAACGAATCGAAGAAGAACTTGTCGAGTTGTTTCGTTGTGAGCAACCCTGTCCTCAAGAACTCACAAAGCAGTTGTATACTTGGAATGAAGTTTCTTAACCAAGAAACAATCAATGGCTGCATTCTTGTGACGTATTCAGGAGGAGCTTTGCCGACAATTTGTTCAAGGATTCGAGAGAAAACAGTATCATTAATTCTATGGTTATTCTTGTACATGTATTTCATCATTGTTCTTATTAATGATGTGAAACTCTCGAAATTTGGTCCAACGTCAGGAATTTTTTCTGAAACTAATTGTAACAAAGAATTTATTTGGTCATTCAAATCTGTTGCATTAGTTTCACTGGAAATCCTCTTTGCTACCCATTGGAAGTAACTTTCGTACGCTTCATATGACTTACTCTTGCTATCCGCAGTTTTGTCGATGATCTGGATTTGGGATGGATTCAAAGCGAGTTCTGCCAAATCCTGGTAAATGAAATTATGTTGTGGCAACAAACCTTGTTCTGTTGGAAGAATTGAAGGAGGAACTAAATGTTGGATACTTAATGGTATAAGATCTTGATGTCTCTGGTTATGACTGTTTTCTTTCTTCTGCTGTTCGAAATTCTCTATCTTTTGCTGAACAATTTTCCAGGCTTTCAAATAAACAACGTCTTTTAATAATTGGCCAATGAAATTATGATTTGCTTGTACACCTTGCAATGCCCATTCGCTGTCTTTCTGGTCGATGTCGTGCATAACATTATGGTGCAAATAGATCTGCTGTTTCTGGAAAACAGTAAACATAACAAGGCTTGCACTTAATTGTTTCGTTAATGTCTCCGCTGTTTGGTAAATCAAATTCATGTTGTTGCAAAGTACAAAATCTTTTAGAATTAATTCAGAAGCTGTAGAACTTGCGACTTGAGACAAATTCTTTCCTTCTGTCTTCAAGAAACTCAATGTCGCATTAGTTAAAGCGTTTCTGAACTTACTCTGTTTCTCTTCTGCGTTTTCTCCTTCGTATTCTGGAATAATGAAATGCTGACTCGTCAAAGTGTAAAAAGCGGAATCTTCAAATGAAATAATTTTGTCGATATCGGCTTGGTTGGAGAAATACAACAAAGAGAAAGGTTTCGTGATGAAATCGAAATTATCCTCATTGATATTTGGTATCAAAGGAATAATCATGAATTGGGAACTTGTTACTTTGAAATGATTCATAATCAAAGTAATTTGATTCTTTATACTCAATTTTAACAAATCAATTGAGTTGATAGAAGCCAATACTTGCAAAATAGCACTCATGTATGGATTTGGTGGTTCAAAGAATGATGTTGCACATCTTAAAACTGCAGCAACAAATGGTAAAACACCAAATAATTTTCCATGTGCTAAAGAATATAATAACAATCTCTTGATATCAATGTATTTGGAAAGTATTGGTCTGTTCAATGCGAATGTTAAATTACCAATTAATCTTCCTAAAATTGATAATCTCCTGCGTTTAAATCCACCTTCGTATGTTGCAATTTCATCTGATTTTTCTACTAAATTGTAGACTTCATATGAAGCTGCTTGTATCATTATTTCGGTGAATTCTCTGTCTTCTATTATTGATGGAAGGAATGTCTGTAACAAACATGGATGATCTTCAATGTCTTCTACTAAATGAAGTGCTAACCAATCTAAATAACCTGTAAATGCTTGGATTGTAGGATGAAGCATTTGACTGTCGTTATTTAGGTTCTGCAAATTCCTCCGAAGACGTGGTGGAGGCTGCTGGAGCTTCTCAAACCTACGAATCTTAGGATGGATGTTCAATTTCGTGGTTTGGGAAAGTTGTATCGGTGCGGAAAGTGACATAGAAATCTTCTTTATGTTTTGATACAAAATTGGCTCTCTTTGCTTGAAACTTGGCTGTTTAAGAAGGTTAAACACGTAAATAGGAATACGTGTAAGCTTGGAATAACAGATGGATAGGGCAGATGAAGTGAAAATTATAAGTGGTTGGTCGGAATCTTCTGAATACGTTTTGTGGAAGGTCGCGAAGATGGCTGAGAGGTCTGATTCGCCATATAAGTTCTCTAAGATCATGTTTCCGACAAGTTGGCCCATCTTTGTGGCAAATTTTATGTCATTATTTGAGATATAATTTAATTCAAGGATTGGATAATGGATCATGTCCTCAAAAAGTTGGTTATTGACTGCTTTGAGGTGATGTAATATCAAAAGGAACTTGTTGAGTGTTGTTTTGCCATCAAAGTATTGTTTGAAATATTCTGACGAAGCAAGCTTGATATCGGATGGATTTACAGGTGGCAATGAGTCCACAAAGTTGAATTGCTGTAGTCCGTTACCGATATTTTCACAAATTGAGTACAATGAATTTGCAATTAGTTGTGTCTCGAGATTTAGTGTCTTAAAATGGTTGGAAAGCCATTTAAATATTGCGTTTAGTGTAGAAATGAAGACTTGCATTGATGTAGGATGACTTTCCAAAGCTCTTGTTTTTACAAGCTGAAGGAATGAAATTAGAATATCCTGGCCGTTCTTGGATACGATAGAATCGATGAATTCTTCCATATTTATTGAATCCTTGATCGTAACATTGAAGGCGAGGTCAAGAGAAAATTCAAGATTATCAGAATCCAACAATTCCTTAAGATGTGAAGAGAATATTTCAGCAATCTTGGTTAGCTTCTGCAGAGAACTCTTTGAGAATAAGAAAATAGCTCTCATGCAGAAATTTGATGAGTGTTTCCATAATTCTTCGAAATAATCACGACTTCCTAGCTGCGAATACAGTACAATGTTGAATATATAGTTCACAAAATCAATATATTCCTTAGATTGCTGTTCTTTCACTTGAGAAATTGCAAATAAAATCACATGACTGAATTTATGAATGCAGGATTGGAAAAATGGTACGACATCCTTGGGGTATATCCTTGCAAGCTCTACGAATCTCTCAACAAAATCAATGCAGATCCAACAACCGTTTGAAATTGTAGAAATATCGTAATTTATATGGCTTAATATTTCTTGAGGAATCATTCTGCACTTGCTTCCGAATGTTATGTTTGTTTGTGATGTTGCTATATACATGAGGAAGTCTAATTGTGATCTTGTATTATTCCATGGAATCACGAACGGATAAGCATCGATTTTCTGGTTTGCTGATATCAATGAAAGGAAAGATATCAGCATAGAGCATCCATCTTTATCAAGAGACTTTAGATTCGGCTGATCCAAATAGTTTACAATTGTTGAAGGATCGACGCCGCGGTCTGTAAATGCTTTCATTATAATCTTAACAACACTTCCTTTCTGCATGTCCTCTAAAGTCTCGAAATATTGACGAAATGAGCAAGATGAAGAAGAAATCGCTGTTAAGTAAGAAGCTGCGTGGGATGCATTGAAGTCTTGGAAAAAGCTCAATAATCTCTCGAGATTTGCCGGTGAAATTAAACTTCGCGGCTCACACTCGATCACGGCATCGTATAATGAAGGGTTTGATAGCGATAAAGATAGCTTATTTTCTGGATAAAATGAGTCAGTAAATATGGATAATGATGTGGGCATTGTTTGTGAGATTTGCTCTGGCATCGAAAACTCCGGTAAAAATAAATTCGATAACTCGTATAAAATCACCTCAGGAAGATTTTCGTAATCACTAGGTGTTAGTTTTGGAATGATTGTAGATGAGATATAGGCTTTTGCTTCTTCAAAAAATGCCGTATTTTCTGAAAAAACGAGAATTGCTAAAGCATTTTTAATATCAAGCTGAGAGATTATGGGAGGAATTGTCTTGGTGTTATTGAATATCATGCCAATAAATGAATGGAACTGAGAGGAATTAACGAAATTTTCGATTAATTTGTTTGAGCAGTGAATAAGTTGATTTTTGTGAATATCTGACGTGTTTTGTTTTGAGATAGTGTCAATAATAGATCTCATTGTGGATACAAAGAGATATGGGTCACTATTTTCAATTGTTAGTATAATTCTATTGGATATGACATCTGGATCAGCTTTTGTGCTTAACCCAGATATTAAATTCGATATAATTCGATATCCACTATCTTTAATAATAGATTGGATACCTAAAGACTTAGACATTGACACTTTTTGGCGCGTTTTTTTTTTTTAATGTTAAATTTGATATTTGTATAATGTACATACTTAGTACATTCAAATCACAATAGAAATTTTGAAATAATACCTAAAAACAAAATTGAAATTTCGTAAATCTAATCATTTTTTTATGAAATGATCTGAATTGAAAGTTCTCGTATCACTTATTACAATTTTAGTTGAATGACAGTATTTGAAACAAAATGTAATAGACCCAATTATTTTCTCTGTTTTCAATCATTATGAGTTAGCAGAACATTATACTAATGTTATATCTATATAATTCTAACTATTTTGTCTATATATCATTAATGTGATATGAAATGTTTCTGTTTCAGTTAATTATTCTCATAAGTATTAGAATAATATTATGTTTATGTATATTAGAGACCCATTGGATTTCTGCAATATGGATGAATTGCTGGAAAATATGATTATTAAATAAATTGAACTATTATCTATAGTAAATCAATGGATAAGGCATTCCCAGTAAAAATAATCTAAGAGTGTAAAAAAACTTATAATCATTTAAGTTTCTTAATGAAATTTAAGCATATGCAACATAGCACCAAGAACAATCGACACCAGCGTAGTAACCGCCGATTGGCTGAGCATCAGTGAACTGCCACATTGTGTAGGGTCCCCAATATGTGCATTGTGAGTTATATTGCGCCATCCAAACATCAATACCAGCATTGTTAATCCAATCCATATTTATATAATTAGTAGCCCAATTCAAATTGCAATATGTCATAGCTCTGTATCCAGCTGCCCTTATACGATTTGCGAACGCCACAGCCATTTGCCCAACTAGATCTCGTCCTACATTCATTGTTGGATCCTCAATATCATAAGCAACAGGTAATGTGATGTATTGTTTGTATGGTTCAATGATAGAAAGTGCAAAATCAGCTTCGTTTTCAGCCTCTTGAACATTCTCGGCGTAACCATAGTGGTAGATACCAATGAGCATGTTGCATGCAATAGCGGCTCTGATATGGTTCACAAATTGCTTATCAACTTGAGAAGGATCAGCAGAACCATAACCACAGCGAATCATGACACCCTGGATGCCGGATTGATCGCGGGCAGCATTGAAATCGATGTCTCCTTGCCAGACACTAATGTCTATAACCTTGAATGGCGTTGCAACCATTAGCAGCTAAAAAATGATCTGACATCCTGCCAAGAATACATTTTGATGTATTCAAAAATTGAAAAGATTATAAAAACTTATCCGATCAATAAAGTTCGGAAATCTTTTTATTATCAAAAATAACTTGGGGAAAAAAATCAATTGATTGGATTGAAACGGTTTGAAATGAAAATAAATATGATGCATTGTAATCAATCTTCGTAAGTAATTCAAAATTCTGATAAGAGTTTTTTTTTTTTTAGGAATGTTAAAAATCATCAGATTATTGGGGATGCAAACAATATATTTCGGTTTTAATTGCATTTTGAGTGCACAGTTTATTAAAAGAGAAGGTGAAAAAACATTTTCATAGGAATTTGAATCAAATTCATGAGAAGAAGTTTATCGAAAAACTTAGTCTCCAATCCAATTGAAATTATTCAAAGAAGTAATTCTAAATATAGAATAATTTGTCTAACTAAATAACCGAGAGATAAAAATTGTTAATTAACCGAGAGATTATCATGTATTCATGTTTATGCATTTAAAAATAATAGATTTTGCAACTCTGCTGGGAGATTTTGTTTGTTTGGTGTTCAGGAATGTAGTTCATAAAAAATTTGTCAATATCTTGTCAACAAGCTATGTAGAGATCGTGAATAAACTTAAACTAGTACAGTACCTCTATCTTCTCTATCATATTGCAATTTATCAATGTATAAGTTGGATGCCTATCTTTTAAAATTACAAAAATATGATAAGAATGTACTTTATATTCAAGCGACAAAGGTAATTTTAAACTTGTCAAATCACTTATTAAATGTAACTGCGATAAAGAAACAAAATCTAGAGATGGATTAACTCCACTCATTTATGCATCATGAAAAAGTCATCATGAAATTGTTAAATATCTTATCTCTTTTGGAGCTGATAAAGAAACAAAGAATGATTATGGATGGATTCCACTCTCAGTTGCAAAATATAATGTAAGAGATTATCTATTGGAGCAGAGTAATATAATCTAACCCCAGACTATTATATTAAAATTAACACTATTCTTATTTCCAATCAATTCTTCTTTTATTCGTTCATTAATGAATCAATAAAAATAAACATATATTTATTATTCATATTAATTAATAACAAAATAAATTAATATGAATAAATACAAACAATTTATTTATCTATACAAACAAATTATCAATATGGCTTTCCATTTTCGTCAACTTCTCTCCATAGTTTAACAGTTTTGTCCATTTCACAAGTAATCAATCTTGTTCCTGTTTTATCAAACGAAATATCCAAAATTCCCTTTTCTGCAGCGAGACTTCCAGGTTGTACGACAGTTGATGTTTCCTGGAAGCATGTTCCGCTGTCGAAATCCCAGAATTTCAATGAGCCATCGTCGCCACTTGTTACCATAACTCCATCTTCATTTATTGCGAGTCCTGTTATGACGGCTTCGTGGGATTTGAACTCTCTGTATAGTTTAGCATCTTGTCCGTTCCATTGGAAGATTGCATCAGCAGAAGCGCTGACGAAAGAGAATAATCTTGGATGAGCAGATAATTTTCGAATTGTCTTCTTGTGGTTAGTGAGAACTGCACTCATTTTACCTGTTTTCAGGTCCCAGATTCTTATTCTGCTATCCGCTGATGCTGTAACTAAATGACTTTCATCTTGTAAAAACATTACGTCAAAAACGGTTCTTTCATGACCTTCGAGAGTAAAAACTGAACTCTGAGTTCGTAAATCCCATACTCTGACCGTTGAATCGCGTGATCCTGTTGCAATAATTGGAAGACTCGGATGTTCATCAACGCAGTAAACGCCACTACCATGGCCGAAGAATCTTCGTATAATTGAATTCATATTGAGGTCCCAATTGTAAACTTCTTTGGCGTCTCCAACAGAATAAAGATATGGAAATCCTTGTTTAGATAAACATAAATCAAGAACAGCACCTGTATGGCCTGTTAGAGTGTTAGTTAATTCGCGTTCAGCAAGGCGCCAAAACTTAATCATTCTGTCTGTAGAACCAGTTACGAAAAATTCATTGGATTGATCAACTGAAATTGCTTTGACCCATGCTGCATGTCCTGTCAATACACAATAGTTGTACCAATTACGATGAGGTTTGGCAGCAATTCCATCTTCGACTAAATTTTGGCGAGCTCTATCAGGTCTTTCATCAATAACAGGCGCTGGAGCTATCTTCTCGATGTTTATTTCTTTTTGTGACTTTGGAAGGAATTTATTCGTTGTAGTTTGAGTTTCGAAAGATAAATCTGAATACATTGCTTCCATTAAGGAAGATTTTGGTAGAACAAATCTAGTTGCACCATATAATTCATTTGTCCTCTGTTTGTTCGATGAAATTAAATTAGCTAGATCCATAATTTTAAAAATGTTGAATTTTTTGTCATGTAAATTGTCAAAGAAAATCATCATAGATTGTCCAATTTCAAATAGAAACACACCCTTAACCGATTTTATACCCGCCATATCATTTTATTCAATGAGTTCCAGGCATTCATATTAATGGTTATAAAAAACACCCATATTTCTTAGAAATAAAAATTTATTTATCATAAAACTTAGTTTTGAGTGATGCAAATGTTTTTATGTATTTTATTACATCGATCTACACATTTAAAATTTCGAATTAACACTAAAAATTTTTCCAAAAAAAATTTGAAATCAAAAAAAATGAAAATAATCTTCTAGAAATTCTCCATCGGTTTATGGCAAATAAATTTTATGAAAAATCCGAATCCATCATGCTTTTAATAGTTCAATAATATTTAAATGTTTAGTCACATAATTTCTCAAATTTTAAAAGTGACAGTTTTATGAGCGTTGATTATAAATACAACTTCAAATTCATTGTCATTGGATCAAGTGGTGTCGGAAAAACATCTCTTCTTTCTCGTCTCATTGATGGCACATTCAACACAGAAAATCAATCAACAATTGGTGTCGAATACCTGTCAACTGTAATTGAAGTGGATGGCAATCCAGTAAAGCTCCAAATCTGGGATACTGCAGGACAGGAGAAGTTCAGGTCAATTGCTAAATCCTATTTCAGACACGCTGTTGGTGTCATTATGGTTTACGATATCACAGATCGTAAATCATTTGACGATCTCGCATTTTGGCTCAACGATGTCCACACACTTTGCGATCCAAACGCATCCGTTACACTTATCGGAAATAAATTGGATATGGCATCCTCACGCGCCGTTACAACTTCAGAGGCCACCTCCTTCGCTAACACTCACCAGCTCCTCTACCTAGAGACATCTGCTCGCGGAGGCGATAATGTCCAAGAGGCATTTTACCGTGCAACAAAATCTGTTTACGAAAGAGCTGAAAATGGCCAAATTACCGCAAAAACATCAACAACATCTCAGGCAAAGCAGAATAATGATGGCGGCTGCGGTTGCTAATTTTTTTCAATTTTAATTCAACATTTTTTTTTCCCCAAATGATTCATACTGTTTAATTGCCATATTTAAAGCTTTAAGCATACTGTCTTATACTATTTCGTCATTTTTCATTTGATTTTTCAAGCTTCTACCAACATTTTTTTTCTCTCCTTTTTTGTTCTATGTTCCATTATTATCTTTGATGAAAAATATTTTAAGATTACATGATATAAAAATATCTCTCCGAGTTCCAGTTGAATCAAAAGATAAGAATTAATGACATTTTATTGAGTTTTATTCATCTTTATTTAAGTGAGGTTTCGTCATATCATCTATCATAGAGATAATAATTCCTGCATTTTTCTAATTTTAACACCGATCTTTAGAAATATTGTATTAAATTAGACCAATATTGTTCGATGTCCTCTTGCATTGATCAATTTAAGTGATTTCTCTTTAAACTAGATATATCATGATGCTTTTGGCGTAAGCAAATGAGATTTTATCTTAAAATATCAACAAATCATGATGGTACAAATGAATTAGCTTTTAAAACATATGTTAAGTATTATTAACTATGTTATGTATCAGTAATGTAAACCCCATTAATTTCTTGAATTCGATGATTCAAAGATCGGCAGCAAAAATATCTACTCTTGATATGACCTATTTTAATATAGTCTTCTTCAGATGTTCTATCAAATCGAGAAAATTTGTTTTTCGAATTTTTGATTGACCTATTGACATTTCATTTACATTTTCCGAATCTATACAGCATAAGTATTATATATCTGATAATTATTTTGAGCATGATTTTTTCTTTCATTGTAAAAACCAAAAATTAATTTCAGATGGATATATTAGTTCTGGTTAACTCCATAAGGCAAAACAATGAACACTTCGCCGAAGCCAACCAGATGCTAACAGAACTAATATCAGACAATCCAGATGAATTCATTCACCAACTTTGCGCTGCAATTCCAAATGCAAAGGATGCTAAGTTGCAGATAGGTGCAATTCAGTTTCTAACCATCCCAATTGAACGAAATGGTAACTGTTTTGTAATGAATTCATCTACAACTCGTATCTCTGACGCAGCAAAATTAGAAGTCAAAGAATTACTGGTGAACATGCTCAATTGTCCACATGAAATTGCAAATGCAGCAAGTAAGGTACTAGTTTTTTATACTAGTTCTAATTCTTGTGACTCTAACAGTTTATTCCATGAATTAATGGAGAATTGTTATCCAGAGAATGCTCAAAATTTGAGTTTAGCGTATTTTCAAACACTTACAGATCTCTCTAGTTCAATTTATCTTCAGGAAAGAGAAAACGAAACAACAATTTTACAATTATACAATTTTTGCAGTTCAATTGAACTACAAAACAAAATTAAAATAGAAATTCTCAAAATAATAGGAAATGTACTACGAATTCCAGCAAATCAAGAAGGGGATCAACGTTTTTTCGAAGTTTTTCAATATATTTGGTCTTTATGTCCACAATTTCCAGAACAGTGCTTTACAATACTTACACAAGGCATCCAAGATCATGGTAATGTTATATCTCAGCTCCCAAACCTCGTAGAACAGACAATGGCCGCCATTACATCCGAAGACAAAAATACAAGGCTTGCAGCCATTGAAATGCTCTTAGTAAGGTATATGGACCCCGACCCATCCTCTTTGGCTTCATTTAATCCAATAGTTGACGGCCAAGAACAACAAATAATACAAATCATGATAAACATCCTGGAAGCAGACCCAGATGTCGAAGTTATACAGAATGATTCATTTTCAGGTAAATGCAAGCGAGTTCTCAAGGAATTATGTGATTCTATCTACCAAATCGTCCAAGAAAACATACAAACTTACATTGAGAGCCATCTCGAGTCAGAAATAGTTGGTCAGAGGACTGTGGCCATGCTTCTCTTCTCTATCGCTGTTTCTAAGGGAGATGAAGGAATTTTACCGTTTAAAGACGAAATTCCACAGATAATTTCACAGGCATTGCAAGACCCAACAGAAAGAGTTGTTAACGAGACACTTTCTATAGTTTCAACCTTAATTATTTCGAATTTTTTACAGATCGACGAAAGCCTCATTACATTCATTGCTCCTCATGCCTGCAGCACGAGTATCAATCTTTCGCACTCAGCTCTCGATACTCTTTTCGTAATAATCTCAAGATGCAATGATGAGCTACGAACTCTTGTTGCTTCAACTGTATTCTCATATATACGTGAAGTAACAGACGAAAATACGAGAGGCAACCTTCTCAGGAACTTAACAGACCTTTGTAAAAAATTATCCGAAGAAGTATCTGCGACAATTGTAGAACCAGCAGTCCAGCTTGCCATGGACATTCTACAAGAGTCAACCCCTGAATCTCCCGCAGTTTCTCTATCTCCAGCCATTGGATTTGCCGCATCCGTTTTTATGGCGGCCGGTACAAGCGTTGGTGAGCTTGCCGATGAGTATTTCAAGTTCGGTGTCCAGCTTATCGAGTCAGATTTAACATGCGATGGCATTATTACCCTTGCAGCCGTAATGAAGAATTTTGCAACAGCCGATCCATCATTTATGGCCACTTCCAGCTCCTTAATTGCAGAGCAGCTCCCCCTATTATCGAATAGCGATGACCTGCTCAGCATCCTCCAGCTGGCTCTCTACACAGTTCCATTTTCTGAAAGCGAAGAATTGTTAACGGTCATTACAAACTGTTTATTCGAAATTGGACTGACCGCGAAGATTTCTCCGGACTTCAGAACCAGTGTTCTCAACGTTTTGGTCGCTGTTTTCGAAAGGATGCCTGAATTAATCACATCTCGGTTACATGAATTCTTCGAAATCGCTTACTACGCTGGAATATCGATTATTTCATCAAAGCAGAGGTTGAAGATATTTATCGGAGCTGAAAGATTCTTTACAGAAGATCTACTTTACGCAAGAGCTGTTTCTGAATCAATTTTCGAAGTTGGATACGATATCAAAAACAGAAGTAAGTGGAACGCAAAGCTACTAATAACTCTACTGGAGATTGCTTTGGTGACAGATCCTCAATATCAGTGGACTTATCAATCTCTCAAATTTATTTCGAATCAGTTTTACAAACACATAAAACCGTATATAGACGATGAGAGTGCTGAAAGAATTATTGAGCTCCTGCCTATCAAACCAGTGAATCCTCAATTAGAAAGTCAAGAATAGAAATAATTGTTTTTGTTGTTTATTTGTTTTATTATATTTATTGCATATATAGATATTATTGTATGATTTTTAATAATTTAAGTTTAAATGTTTGGTTTTTTTTTGTTTCTTCAAATTTTATTTCATTTTTTTTTATATAATGATATATCCATATAACAAAAGTACCATATTTACATAGAAGCTATAAGACATCAAGAGTTCACACTGAATGACACTTATATATAAAATTCAATATTTATATTAGTAATCATCTGTATAAATTCATCTTAAATCCCATAATATAAGAAATATACAGTTTGATGTTTTAGCCGAAACTACAGTATTATGATGAAATTAATAAGGTTGTGAGATATTTCATGATAAAATATAGGATTTAGACTTCATAAACAACTGACTTCTCCAATTGAAGTCTAAATGTGTAGATAGAACTATATATGATGTAATTCTGATTTCATTACTTCATAAAATTTGTGTCGATTTGACAGAAATTTCCAATGATTTTGTTTTTTCTACTGATGAACAAGATTCTTCCGACTAGCATAATCATTGGAGTAGATGTTCAGATGGATTGTTTTCGAGTAGCTATTCCAAATACAGCAGATTTAATTATGTTACTCGATTCAAACGAAATGCCGAAAGCTTTTTCTACAACATTCGAAGTCATACCAAAAAATGGAACCGTACCTGATGTTATAGACGAAAAGAATTTCGAAAAATTCAATTATCGCTTTCTAACAAATCACGATGAAATATACAATCCAGAATATACAATAGTGCATCCTGCTAACTTTATTGGAAAGTTGTCAACACATGACTTCCACCAATTGAATTTTAAGCGAAAATATTACCATCAACACGTTTCATCAAATAATTCTTTTTATAAAACTGTTGGATTTGATCCAACAGTAGTCACAACGACAATACTACACAGAATTAAACAGAAAATTGCCGATGGCGGCATGGAGGTAATGCAAGCTGTTTTTTCTGTCCCAAAATTTTGGGTTCAATCTCAAAGAGAAGCAATATATTATCCCGCAAAGCAATTAAAACTCAATCCACGACTAATTGATTCCACTACAGCCATGGGTTCCTTTATAACTCATAAATACGAGAAAAAAGTTACGAAACATGAACGAAGGATCCTCATTATAGATATCGAACAAACATCATGCGAAGCTATTGTATTCGAATTCTCTCGTAAAAACAAAATATTTGCACATGAACAAATGTATTCTTATACAGATAAAGCAGGATTAAGGGATTTCGAATGTGTGATCGCCGATTTGATACAGAAACAGACAAAAACACCAAGCGAGCCATATTGGGAGTACATTAGATTGAAAGAAGCCGAAAAAGTCATAAAACAATTAAATACAAATACAGAAGCTTCAGGACACATACTCGGAATCCCATATAAAGTCACCCGCCAGCAATTACAAGTATCTTCTGTTGAATATTTGCAAAATATTTTCGATATGGTTGCATCAATCTTGAAAATTGTGCCAAATATCGAAATTGACCACGTAGAAGTTATTGGTTGTGGAGCGCGCTTGTACACTGTCAGGAAAACTATTTGCCAAGTCTTTGGAAAAAATCGAGTTACAGTTGATTCGGAGCCAGAGCAAGCAATCTCAGTCGGACTTGCAAATTTAGCATTCCAAAAAATCAATATTGATACTGAGGTTCTTTATCCTTTGAATTTCGTCCAAGGAAAACAAATTGCTCCTATTAACCAATCAATTCCATTCAAAACAGGTCTAGTGTCAGTAGAAATACCACATAACCTGAATATACCTGTTGGAGCGCCGTATATAGTGATGTCAGCCAATGTTACCGAGAATACAAAAATTTCATGTAATCCTTCCAGGATTTATAAGTTTAAAGACTCATTAACGCCAAATAAACGACCATGGGTAATAGAAACAATGATATTTACCCAATTCGTCGCCAATTCTATTCAAGTTAATGAGAAAATGCACCAATTAAGAAGATATCTTGGATTTATGATCGGAAATTTCTCAACAGATTTAGAAGTATCCGAAGCTCTTAACACTGTTATCAGTCCAGAAGATAAAGAGCTATTAGTTCGCGAAGTTTCCGATCTAAAAGCTTATTACGACAAAATTAACGCAAAAGCTTCGATGGAAGAATTATTTAAAATGGAAGAAAAGGTAAAGAATACAATGATGATGGCGAATATGAAGAAAGATAACCTTCTTTACCTTGATACTTCAATAGAAAAATTTGTTACAAAATGTAACAAAATAACTGAAGATATAAAGAACATGGTAGAGATATTCCAGACATCTATGACCGATGAGACAGTTCAGGACTTACTTAGACCTCTTGTTGAAGCTCAGATTTGGTTTGATTTTCATTACAGGCGACAGCGTTCGATTCCTTCCGAATTCATGCCTCAATTATGGTGGTTTGAAGTAGAGAGAAAAATCACCGGAATCGAAGCTCAGTATAAGGCTAAGTTTCGAAAAATGACTGATGAGTTTAAAGATAAGAAAATTAAGAAATAAATTGTGTTTTGTATTGTGTTTTTTAATTACGAATTACGTACTATTTTTTTGTTCGGGTATTTGTTATGGGTTGTAATTTTTCATCTAAAAAAATAGAAATATCATCGATATTTTGAGTTTTTTAAAACAAACATGTTATGTTAAATCTTTAAGTTCAACACGATGAAACCAAATTGCAACTCTCAAATGGTCAGAAATAAATTTTATATAAAAGTGATAAATTATATATTAATTTTTATAGGAGGATTGTGTATCATCTTGCTTAAAGTATGCTAGTATTTGTATTTCAATTTTTTTCAATTTTCAAAGATATTTACAATCCCGATTTACGATAAATCATTCAAATTAACTACTTCAAACGAATATTATCATTCGTAGAATAACAATCATATATACCACAAAATTATCATTTTATTTGTTTCAAAAATATTTATTCAATTCTGAATAACTGAAATTTGAAAAGTTTCAATTAAATTGATGTTAATAACATTAATAGCCGTATCAAGATTCTTTCACATATGTGGTCATGATGAATTTCAACGCAAGCAAGCTCCAACTACAGTTAAGGCAAGTTATAATTCAAATACATCAAATTTTAGGCCTAAATTTATATTTCCTGACTATGATAATGATGAAAAAATCTGCAAAGCCACGGGTTCAACGATAACATGGAACGATAAAACATATACTTGTACTGATGATGATCTTTTGACAGATGGAAAGAAAACAGTCCTTGAATCTACAATACAAAATGCGGGGAGCTATATTGCGAATTTTGTTAGAGCTAGACAACTCACTGGAAGCTTTCCAGCTAAAAACTTCTTAGATACAGCAATGACTGAAAGTATATTAGGCTCAGTTGCTGACGTTCAGATTTTTATATTTATTAGACCATTTGGTGATGAATCCAGACAGGCATTAACTGCAATCGTTCAAATTGATGAGACAACTTCTAGACCAATACAATCTGTTATGTTCATTAACTCAAAAAATATTCCAACCACATCACAAGACGAAAACTCAGATAATTCTAGAATCTTCTGGTCACTAGCTCACGAAATGTTGCATGCATTCGGAATTTCATCTGTATTATTCCCGAAGTTCCACACCGTAAGAAACAGTAACCCACATTCAACGAACAATACTTATCGTTCAGGAAAAAGGAATTTCTTAATTACGCCAAATGCACATATTTTCGCTATTAACCATTATGACAGAGTCAATCTTTCCATTAATGGCGAAAAGTTCACATCTGGCATTGAACTAGATACATATCCCGAATCAACAAGTTCTCATCCAAACATTAGACGCTATCTCTCTGATGTACTTGCAGGGGTCATTGTCCAGCCAACCAGTGGAAAATTCACTCGTGTTACTGATGTCACACTTGCTTTCCTCAAAGACTCAGGATTTTTCGATGAAGTAATTTATACAGAAGCATCTCCAATTATTTACGGTAATCCTTTAATTACTGAAGGAACGAGGAAAGGCGAATATCTCTCTGAAATTCCACAGAAAATATTCCCTTATGGTTATTTTTATAATGCTGAAGACTACACTGATTCTTCTTCATTTGATTTCGGATTTTCAGGGTCTGTGGATGATAAACTTCTTGTAAATGTTACGTGCAATAGTGAATATGCAATACCGTCAAAAGAATATTGCACATATGCCTCTTACTACAATCCATATCGTTATACACAAGTAACAAATGTTGCAGAGACTAATTATATGCTTCTAAAATACCCATTAACGTCAATGGGTACCGGCGCAATGATTCATGGAAGCAATTTCATGTCAGGAACATATTCATGTGCAGAAGATAAAAAATCATTTACATTAACTTACGTGAAATCATTTGGCGGTACAGATAAAGTAATTACTTGCAATCAAAAAGATACAATCAAACAAAAATATACCATAAAAAATAATAAAAATGAAGATATTGAATATTGGTACAAATGCCCAGATCCAGGATATTTCTGCAGAACAATGGAACAACGTAATACTAATTTCACAAGCGATCCATTCGCCGTTCAAGAAACAACCGGCGCTGGTGATGCAGTCGTAGATCCAACACCAAATGGTGATGATAAAACTGACAATGACAATGGCAATAATAACGGCAATAATAATGGTAATAACAATGGAAATAATGGTGGTAGTAGTGATAACAATCAACCAGTTCCTAAACCAACCAGAACGGCGACAGGTTCTGGAAGTGATTCGAAAGGTGGAATGAGTGAAAAGACGAAACAAGCGCTCATTATTGCTGCGATTATTGTTGCTGTTGTTATTGTATGTGTACTTATCATCGGACTTGCAATTTGGTACAGATGTAAGAAGAATAAGGAAAACAAAGAAGAAGAAAGTCAGTATTCTGATTACAGCAGTGATTCCATTTAAGACTTTTTGCTTTTTTTTACAAAATAAATTATTTCATCATTTTAATTTTTTTAACATCACAGAATTAACTAAAACTACATTATATTTGGATAAATTATATTTGTTATTTACTTATTCATTTTCAAGAAATATTAAAATCAACTCCAAACAAATTCTTATAATATCTAATTGTCATTGATATACATAGGTTATTAAATCTTTTATCTTCAAATATTTGCTAAAAAACAATAAAATGGAAATACTATACTGTATAATTTAAAATCGTTCAAGTTGTTTTGCCTTATTATCTTTGCAAACTTTGGAAATGCTGGAAAAGTGACGAGACTAAAATTCGAGCAAATGAAAACAGGCGGGTTAGGTCTTGGGCTCGGACTTGGATTAAAGAAGAATCAACCACAAGAAGAGCCAGAAATACAAATTAATGATGGAATGCTTATTGAAGATATTGATAATTCTGTGGCCCGCGATATTATTTCAGTTTTTGAAAAGAATCAAGCTGCTTCTAATGCACCTCCATTGGAAGATGCTGCTTTTATAGAAAGTTCTTTGAAATTAATACAAGAAGAGACAAAAGCTCAAATTTTTGGTCCTTTAATGAGTGTTGCTCATCAAATTGATTCTGGCATCTCAACAGTTAACGATTTCAAAACAGAGTTAAGTAAATCACAAGCAGATCTATTAAATGCTCCTCACGCACGAAATCCTCCAACCCAGTTCATTACAAGGTCTGTTGACAGACTACAAAGCAAATCTATCGAAATAAGTCAGATACTTTCCGCCTATACAGCCAAATTCCAAGCATTTGAATCAATTCAACAACAAAATCCAATTGGCAAAATTCTGAAGTCAGAACATCATGCACTAATCAGAGTTGCATCAAAAGTAGCTCAAGTTCGTTCCCGTTATGAAGCTTTGAGGAATGAAATGCTCCAGAAATTACCTACAAATATTCTTACGAAATTTGAGGAATCTATGGATAGCTCCGAACAAGCCTCAACATCAGATATCATAGAAACTAATTACCAGTCATATATTACAGAAAAGAAGAATAAATTTGATAAATGGCGAGAAGAGATCGATTTATTTGGAGAATCAACGGCCCCACCACCTGCACAAACAACAAAATTTTCACTTGGCGCCAAACCAGCATTAGGTGGTTCAAAACTTTCAACTTCAAAATAATTTTGTTTTTAGTTTCATATCTTATGTTTGCATGTTTTGATACTATATTAGTAAATACTATACTATTTGAATTTATGACTTTTTTTTAAAAAAAATTTACAGCTTTATTTTTATTTTCAAAATATCTTAATAAAAGATATTGATTTTAAGCCACAATTCACAAATTTGTTACAAGTTAGAGACATACAATGATATTTAACGTTTTCTAAAGGATATTTCAAACATACAAAAAAATATCATATAACAGATTGATTACATGTCATATAACATAGATTAAAAAAAAAAAAAAAAAAAAAAAAAAAGGTAGTGGGGCTTCCAGGCACTTCGTGCCTTCTAGCCCTGAAGATGTTTTGTCAAGACTTCTTCGTAAATGTTTTGTCAAGACTTCTTCGTAAATGTTTTGTCAAGACTTCTTCGTAAAATCAGACAAAAATATATTTTAGGGTAGAAGGTTAGATATAACCTCTTTTCTAACCTCTTTTCTACCCTCTTGAATTTGTCAAGATTTCTTCGTAAATGTTTTGTCACTTTTCTGTCACTTTTCAGGAAAAAAACATTTTTATTGTATATAAAATGAATTTTACAAAACCACCGTTACCCTTCTTTGGAAATAAGAGTAGATGTAAAGATATTCTATTGAGAGAACTTAAGAAACTACCGAATGGTCTAACATTTGTAGATTTGTTCGGTGGAAGTTTCTATATATCCCATTTGTGCCATACAATATTCCCAGACTCAAAGATTATATGCAATGACTTCGACAACTATATGAACCGTCTCAAACATATTCCAGACACAAACAATATATTGAAAGAGTTAAAAGAAAAGATACCTATAGGTAAGATGGAACGTATACCATTAGATAAGAAAAATATTGTGAGAGAGGTTTTGAAAAAAGCAGAATATATAGACTGGGATAGTATATCTGCTAGACTATTATATAGTGGTTCTATAAGAGTTCATGACATTGAAACACTTATGTCAAAAGTTTTATATCTTAACTATACAAATGTTTTCAAAGAGGACATAGAAAAATATATTGAGGGTATAGAGTTTGTGAGATGTCATTGGACAGATTTGTATGAAAAATATAAAGACAAGGAAAATGTTTTCTTTATAGTGGACCCACCGTTCTATAACACATGGGATTTTCAATACCAAGTAGACTGGACTTTGAGAGACTCTTTAGAAACTTTAGACGTTTTACATAACCATCCATGCTTTTACTTTACATCCGATAAAAGTGGTTTGGAAACCGTTATGAGATGGTTAGAGGACATACATGACTATGAGTTTATTTACGATAAGATAGAATATGAGAGAGGTCCTATAAACTGGAGAAAGTGTCACAATAAAGAAATTTTATTGGTAAGTAAATGTGGTTTGAAATAGGACTACTTGTTTTAGGTTTTTTCCATTGTGTCATTTATTTATTTGACGTGGCAGAAAGATATAGAGAATATGAAGATGAACCAATGTCTGCAAATGTTCAGCATATGTACTCGTAAGAGATATTTTTATCTAATATTAAATGGACGCACAGAACTTAGCGAATGCACAGCAACCTGGACAACCAAACCCAGAGAATATTCCAAATGAAGTTAGAATACAAACTGCAATGGCAAACTATGGTCAAGTGCCAACAGATGTACAAATGCAAACTGCCATGTCAAATGACGCTGCGTTAGGTTTGCCACCATGGTATGCAAATATGAGATGGAAAGAGTTTTATACAAACCCTGAAGTGGGATATAAACAACTTTATGCAGATGACGCGAACACAGGAGTTGACCCAGAATATGTTTTCTACCAGAGGAGAAACAGAATGTATGAGCTCCAGTTAAAGAATGCTATGGAACTCAACAGGAAACGTAAGAGACTAGGCGGACATTAGATTTTTACACGTAGTAAGTGGGTTTCTTCAGTAGTATTGGAAACTTCTTTCGAAATGTTGGAAGGGGTATATGGAATGGCGTCAAAACCGTAGGAAAAGGAATTTGGAACGGAGTCAAAAATATTGGTAAAAGAGTAGGTCAGTTCGTTGGTATTATACCTAAAGACCCTGAACCAGAAGAACAAGCTCCTGTTATACAACAGCCTGAACCTGCACCACAGTCTAGTTGGCAACCAAATCCAACACCTCAACCGTATTAAAAAATTATATTTTTACCGTTCGATAGTAGTTGTATATGAAACTAAGTTCTAAGTAAAACGCATGGTATAATGGAATTATTCTTTTTCTTCCATCTGTAGTAAACCATACTTGAAAGTCTGAAATACTTCCACTTGGTGGTTCGTATAACTTTGTAGGTTTTTCGTAAAAGTCATTTGCCAAGCATAAGAAAGAGTTTTGGGCGCCAGAAAATGAAGCATGAACAATAATAGCAGCTGGGTCGAAAACATCTTTAAATAAATATGGTTCATCTCTTGCATATCGACTGTAAATATTTGCTAAAGGAAGTTCGACTTTCTGATTTAACATTCTTTGCAAATAATACCATGACATTGCAGTGAATTCTGTATATATTTGTTCGTCTTTCTTTGGATTGTCTTCGTAGATTTGAAATGACACTTGTGAATTTTGTTTGTCATATACAATTCTCACATAAAGTGTGCTCTCGGTATTTGCATATTCATCAGCATATTTTGCATAACATGAATTTATTTTATCTTCTATATTTTTTAACGCAGTCTGTAGAGAAGATGAAAGGTCAACTTGTATTAGCTCAATTTCTTCCCACATTTTTCGTTTCCCTTCAGATATATAATCTATATGAAACCTTACAATAAATGGAAAACTTTTATCTTCTACAGACACAAACTTCATTCTACGAAAGCCAATAGCTTTTGTGACAGATGGGTCTCTTAGCCATCTTAATGGGTAGTCAAAACGATAGCCTTCATGCTTTACGGTCTCTGTCTCAAACTTTTGACCGACATTCGTAAAAAGTTCATCTAATGGTTTAGTTGTAGCAACTCTTGAATTTTCTTTTTCTATTGGAAGCATATTTTATCTAGAATAAAAATGTCAAATGAAACAGCGTCTATGAGAGAAATACAACACAACCGACAACTCATTATACAAGCTCTAAATAAGAACACAACAAACTTTTCAAACTATTCTAAGATATCTGAGTCATTGAAAGAAGGAAACTTAAAACTGACGATAAACCCAATGACAGATGAGTTTCTGTTTCAAGACAGTAAGAACCATACTGTTTGTATAAATCCAACAAAAGGAACTTTAAACGAGAAACCTATATCTGAACTTCTTTTGAAAGCAGATGTTGGCAACAAAGCAGACAAAGAATATGTAGACGATGCAATAGCAAAAGAAGAAGAAAGAGCTAACAAAGCTTATGCAACGAAAGAACATACTCATCCTGAACTAGCAGACAAAACATATGTTGACAATAAAATGTCAAGTGAAGTGACAAGAGCTGAAAACGAATATTCTAAAAAGACTCATACACATACCATTGCAAATATTGCAAACTTACAAGAAACCTTAAACAGGAAAAGTGACGTTGGACATACACATACATCTTCTGAAATAACAGACTTAAACGTTAGCCTTGAAAATAAAGCAGATAAAACATATGTCAATGAAATATACCAAAGTTTGCTAGGAACAAAAAATATTGAAACTATTGTTGGTGACTTTTCTGTCAATGAAGAAAACAAATATTTTAGATGGCAGTTGGTACAGTCCTTAGAAAATGGTACACGGTATAAACTCATTCCGAAAAATAACAATGAAATGTATGTAAGCTATAAAAAGAACGATGGTACACAAGTTAAAGTTCCATTAGACAACAACTGTTACTTAAACATATATGGAGACGAACAAAAGAAATATTTAAGAGTTTATGAAATGGCAGATATGACATTGCCTGACCCAGCTCCAGCACCATACTATTATGACTATGGAGATGACGAAAGAACACCACATGTAGATGAACAAAAGCTAACATTATATTTAGATTTTTATAGATATAAAAGATATAATGCAATAGAAAAAACGAGAATAGTATACTATTATACAGATGACAGAAATAAATATTATAGTCAAGACTTTACCTACCCTGAAAACATAAGATTATATTATAAAAAATATTCTGACATGAACCAGAAGAAACCTGAAATAGTTGCACTATATTTTAAGTTCAAAAGAGACAATCCTATAATATCTCATATGTTTGATTTAATGAACCCAGTAGGTTCTATTTACACGTCAATGGAAGCAAGAGGTCCTCAAGCAATGTTTGGTGTTGGTGCATGGGAACAAATAGTCGACAGGTTTTTGTATTGTGCAAACTCTTCAAAGGAAACAGGTGGAAGTAAAACGATTTCAGGTGAAAACTTACCTGCACATAGTCACTACATAGATTTAAGTACATCTCAAGCAGGTTGGCATAAGCATAGATATTGGGATTGGTCAGGAATGACAAAAGGTAAAGGATATGATGTTAAAGACGACGTTAAGTTTGCTATAAATTGTTACTGGGATGACACGCAGGGAGAAGGAAACCATACACATTTCGTTTCAGGATATACGCAAACAACGGGACAGAGTAAAGACTACATGCCACCTTACATGACAGTTTACGCATGGTATAGAATTGCTTAGTCGTCATTTTCAACTTCTTTAGCATATTCGTCAGGAGTTGTCTTATATTTGTTAGGAACTGTCTTTGAAAGTATACCACCTTGAACTTTGACAAGTTTGAAACGAGGTCTGACAATAGTAGTTTTATCTTCTGCTTGCAGTCTGTACATTTTGCCATGTTTGCCTAAAACTTCATAATATTCTCTTGTATACTTTCTTCTATTTTACGAACACGAATGCGAGTACCTGTCGAGTTCCCATTGTTGTCATAGTCAATAGTATTTTCATATGGGTCGCGTTTAGGTATTTCTATTTTTACTTTGTCACCTTTCTTAAGTTTGAAGCCTGGCATTCTTTCTTGTTTGTCTCTTTTGACTAAACTATTAAATAT